ATTACTCAGTGAAAAGTCGCAGACAGAGTAGAAGCATTGCTAAAAAATAATCACAAATTGTCAGAAGCCAGAAAATGACTGTGCAACAGTCCACTGCAGCAAGAAGGAAATGCTCCTAATTCTGGACATATTGGGAAATGAGGACTGGCAAACCAACCAGGCAAATTCTGTTTGAGGGATGACGCAGTTTTGCTTAGAATACAGCAGAGGCACTACAAGGAAGACAAAAAGAATGACAGATTGCTTAGAAAATACGATTGAGACAATGAGTTTGAAAGATCCAGGCTCTTTTCAAAGCAGGAAAGTGAAAGCAGACTGAAGTCAGGGCAACATTCAGGAGTGCAGAACAGCTGCTGAACAGCCACAGACTGCAGCAATGGCAGGAAGGACAACGAATCAACTCAATTTGCAGCAAATTCAATTTAGGTCAGTTACTAGGGGAGCTTTCTAATTAAGGCAAACACAGCAGAATAGGAGCCTGGGAGACCCTCCTTCACTGGAGATTTCTTTTGCAGGCAAACAACCACGATGGTGTCCTGAGAGCCCCTCCAGCTCCACAAAGCCTTAACCAATAGGTGATGGAACACAAGCCACAAAGCCTTGCACATGCAATAAAAGTGATGTGAAAATCAGCTCTGGAAAAACACCAGCTAGTGATACTGCTCTATTATTTGCCCATCCAGACTAGGTTACCTACATTTGAATGTTCTTGTGGAAGAGGATATAACTACCTGAAGGGAGGTTGTAGCGAGCTGGGGGTCGGCTTCTTCTCTCATGTGATAGGACTACAGGGAATGGCCTCACGTTGCACCAGGGGAGATTCAGGCTGGACATTAAGAAATACTACTTCTCCAAAAGAGCATCAGGTGCTGGAACGGGCTGCCAGGGAGATGGTGGAGTCACCAGCATGGAGTTCAGAGAACATTCAGACACTGTATTGAGGGACACGGCTTAGTGAGAACTATTAGTGACAGGTGAATGATTGGACTCTATGATCTTGTAGGTCTTTTCCAACCTTGGTGATTCTATGATAGAATGTAAATTAAAAATTAAGTAGCCACGCTGTGAGTAATGTTCCTTGTAGCAGATGGACAGGTTGATATTTGAAGAGCTGAGCAGTTTCATGGCTTTTAGAAGTACCTCCTCGGTATTTTTTAAGTTTCTACACTGACATTTTGTGTAAAGGAAGGAAATAGGTGATGCTCAGAGGCTTTGATGTGTAGGAGGGAGAAAGGTTCCAAGAGGCAAAACATGGTGACTAGGAGCTAATTTCAGTGCTCCCACTGCCATTGTCAAAAAAACAACTATTTTCCTATGACTTGCTCTGTTCAAGCACAGAGAGCCCCCAGGAGAAGAGGCAGGGACATGCTGAGTGCTGTAGGAAAGCACTGGAGTTTCGCATTTTGGACTTTACAGAAAGCACCAGTGAGAAAAAGCTGATAATAAGTGATCTAATTAATCTTTGATTGAATCAGTAGGAAAAGACACCCAGTGCACATCCCAAAAAATAAAAATAAAAAAAATCAGTACGTTTTCCAGGATGAAGCACACATTCAATTTTATTATTTTTTTAAAAGCTCCACAGTAATTCAACTTTGGTTCAGCAGATTGAGCTTTTCAATCTGTCCAAGTTCCAAAAAGTGACACTGCCTGAGCATAACAAACCCCTTCATCTCTATTTTTAATCCCATGCTTTTCGTCAAGACTATTTTAGCCATTTAGGGTCAGTTGAATACGACAAAAACTTCAGTGCATCAGGCTAAGAGGATGATTACTCGAAACACGGCTTAGCTGGAAAACATCTCTTCATAGACGCTTTGCGCAAGAGTCAAAATAATTTTAGTGCTTTGGCAAAAGCAAAGCAAGGAGCAGAAATTACTAGAATACACTGGCAGGGTTACAGCTCTGCTGTGACAGCAGTCATTAGCTTTCCCTGCTGAGTTATTACCTTAAGAGCACCACTTGGAAATAATTACAGCACAGCCGCAGAGAGGATACCTTAGTGATAAACACGCTAGGTTTGCAGCAAAGAGAAAATATTTCATTAACCTAAACCAACATAACTGGGGGAAAAAAAATTAAAAAATAGAAGAGACCTAGAAGCCATCAACAAGCTTTCAAGATCTTCGTGCTGCAAACCTGAGCGCACCATTTCCGGACCTGAAAGAAAGTTTTTCTCTCTCCTGTGCCTCCCACCCAAACCCACATCGCTTTGCTGTGGTGACAGCCTGGATTCAGTTACATCACCTTGATCTTCAGCCATCTACTTTCACCATGATTCAACAGAGCTCGTAGGAAACTCGCCCAAATCGAAATAACCTCAATCTGATTTTGTGTTTGGATTTTAGCTTTCATCTAGAAGCCACATTTCTACAGCTGGCAACTCGCTCACTAGGGGTTGTTCTGACTGAATGCTTGCAGCAAAAACCAAGTGAGCAAAACCAAAATGGTCATCATCTTGATGAGCTGACCTCACAGAGCTGGCTGACCTCCTGCTTTCCCCAGCCCCGCTGTGCCCACTCCCAGAGCAGCAGCAGCTGCTGAGCACAGTGCTGGGGGGTTTTGACAGTGCCATGGCCGTCCCTGGCTCCCTTTCACCCACCTCTTTCTTGGGGCAAGGGGAAAATCCCTCCAAAACTGAAAGCCTTATAACAAAAAAAAGAAAAATCAACCTTTTCCTTCCAGTGGAAATTCTGAATATTTCAAGTGCTAAATCAGAACTAAATTTATTGGGTATTTCCATTCACTGGAAAGTCTTCCATCTGTGAATAGTTGTACCTGTTAAGCACTGAAATACTTTAACTTACAACTAAGGTATCCACCTACTGATTCCTTTTAAGCTACCTAACTATGTCATGTCATACCTTAACTGAGAGCTAAGAACATTTACAAGTAAATCAGGTGTTGGATTTTTCTGGACAAGTCAGATACAGAAAACTTCATTCTGTATCGAGCACAGTGTATTAAAAACAGAGAACAATTTTTGAGGAGTGTTTAAAATCATTATTGCTCATTACTGCCACATTTTGGAACTGGAAACCAAAAATCCAAATAGCCTTGCTATTTATCCTCACAGTTTGTTCTTTAACTTTGAATGATTTGCTCACTGAAGTGAACAGCGTGTACATTTCACAGAATCTTTCAAACAAGCCAGGCCATGGCTATCATCAGGTTAGCAACTTGACATTTTATAATTACTTCAGCAACTAACAGGCACATGAAATACTCCTATGGTTACAGCAAACCGAGTCAAATTTCTGCCTGAGAAGGTATTGTTTATTATTTCTCTATTACAGAAAAACACACCAATGGAAGAAAATAGCATTGGAGTGAGAATGCACAGGGCAAGAGCGCGCATCGTGTGCACAGCTCCATCTCCACCTCATTATTTCAGCCCCAAACCAGCAATCCTCCTGTTGCCCATCGATGACATGGGTTGGGCTCACTGAGAGGAGAGGTAGCAAAGCTACACTTCGCTTTTCTTCTGTGTTTTGCTGCCTCAAGCACGCCTCCTTCTCAAACCACCGCCGTCTTTTCTCAAGCCAAGAACAAAATGCCACACACCTCTATCGAAAAATATTCCAATGTATTTATTTGTTTTTTAAACAAACGTACAGCTCAAGTAACTGCAACAAGCAGCACACAAACAACAGCAAAACTGGGGAGAAAACCCTCACCGTAAACAAGATGTGGAGACCACAATACACACAGACACTTTGCATGCTGAAACACAAGCTCAGGAAGAGCACCCGTCCATCGGGAAGTGTGTCAATTGCTATTACACAAAAACAAAGGATTACCCCAAACATTTCTCTATTGATATAAACCATCCTCTGTATTTAAGCTCTTTCAGCCTAGAACTTCAAGTCTGCTTTTACCCCCTCCTTTTCCTTATGGGATTTCTGTTTGTTTTCCAAACAAACACACTTTGGTTTTACCATAAACACCAGAACAAAGCCAAAAGAACTCAAGGTAAAGCACCAAGGATTATCTTCCTAGATTGATATAACATAAAGGTTTGTGGCTTTCGGTATGTTATGATTACTGATACTGAAATCATACATTTGTTTGTCTAGCGGTCTACAACGAGCAACATTTGAGATGAGGTAGATGTGAGAAATCATTATCTCTCTATAATGACATGAGCATTGCATGGCAGCGGGAGTGAAGTCCATGAATGAAATTAATACCTTTTCCTCCATGCTATTCTTTTACCTCTGGAATACCAAACAGTGCTGCTAGCTGACTCTGTATAACCTGAGCGTCATTCTATCGCACTGAAATCCCTGAGACTTCTTGTTTTGTCTCATCAACCAGTTTATATATTTTTAGCATGTTTGCAAGTAGAAGATTTAAGGTAGTATGTGAACTGTTAGTTCTGCTGCACTTCTCCTTCCCTTTCCACCATCAGCAGCTGGAAGTAGGCAGGAGATGTGGAAGGAACTGCATATCTGAGTGGTTCAGTGGGGACTGGGAAATATTGAGAGGGAGGAAGTCAGTGGGAGGGTGAAGGATGTACATTTATAGCTGTGTTAGTTCTACTACTTGTAGAAGTGTGTGTTCTTAAAAAACAAACAAACAAAAAACCAAACACAACAGTATTTCATCTCAGGATTTTGATAGAACTGAGTTTGAGGGTAGTGCTGAATTTTAAAGCTCCAGTGGTTTCAGAACACGCTCCTAACCAACCTCTGGAGATCTCTTCCCACTCTGCTATGAGGGCTTCAACAACCCACACACCCACACTGTGATGCTGAGGAAGAAGAGGCAAGAAGCCCCTCAGCACAGCCCCTTTCTCCCCACAGCTTTCTGCCTCCAGCACAAACCATGCACTGCTGTCAGCAGCCTTGCAGCACAGCTCACAAACCAAACGCTCGCAACTCAGTGCAGAGAAACGTCACAGTTGTGCCAGAAAACTTCTGCTGGGCTCTGCTGGGTAAAGTAACCTCAAAATAAAACCATGCAAGAAAAAAATTAACAAAATAATTCATTAATTAAAAAAAAAAAAAAAAAAAAAAAAAAGTAAAAAAAAATTTTTCCTTGAAGTCAAATTAGCACCTTTCAAAAAAACTGCAAAGTCCCAAGAGAGGAAACTGGAATCCAAATGTCATCAGCAGATGATCTTCGTGGTCTTTTCTAACCTTAACAATTCTATATCATTACTGAAACAACAAAGTTTGTCCCCAAGAAAGCAGGCCAAGGTTGTCATCATCTCCTTCCCCAAATCCCTCAGCACAGCAGTACAGGCAAATCTTGAAGTCTTCGCATTCACTCAGTTTCTGTGGTCTAGGACTCAAGCATCCTCCCTGGTAATTCTGCTGGATAAACTCCCTATGATTCAGCTCCTGTAGTCACTTGGCCAATATGGCCAGAACAAGATGACAGACTGGTGACAGTCACCAGCCACTGCACAACAGAGGTAAAGATAATGGTTATCACTTAAGAAGTTTCGTTAACACTCAAAGTTCATGAAGGCCTTGTAGCTAAGGCACTTGAAAGGATAAAAAAAGCCAAAGCAAGTCTTCTGTGAACAGTCTGGATACCAGCTGGAAGGTGAGGAGGTGTCTCACACATATCTCAAGAAAAAGCAACTCTCATACTGGGTTTATTCAGCCCACGGCTGAAGCACAGCTTGGGAAGGTCAGTCCATGGATGTTTCCTGCAAACCCCCTGCCCAGGGCACCCAACGGGCCGCTGCTCTGCATCCCATCTATTGGCAGCTCCGTGTGCAGCTCAACAGTGACTCACGTGCTGCAATCAAACCCTGCCTCACCTGCTGAGGAACAAAGCCAAACACTTTGGAGCACATGCTCCAAAACAAACAAAACCTGACAAAAAGCAGCCAACGCTTACAAACTGTGCAGCACAAACACAGGTGCAGGTGACAAGTAACAGGGCAGAGCAGGTCAGAGGCTGAACAAAAAACACTGCAATGCAGTCAGATGAAATTTATGTACATGCTCATCTCAAAGGACCCAAGATGAGTTTTGCTAGCAGAGATGGAAGAATGGCCAACAATGGTGATGCATCTTCTGAGCATCAAAGAAATAAGGCTCAGAAAGGACTCTGGAAGTAGGAGTTGGTGAATGGTCCACAGGCCTTTTCACATCCACCTTGTCACCTGAGTTAAAGGAGCAACTCTGGAAATCTTCACTTATCTTCTATTCTGAAAGCAGTTTATCGGTGCTCTTTTTCAGAATTAGAGGATTCAGGAGTTTCTATTAAAATTAAAGAATGGATTTCTTCTTCCTTGATTAACCTGTCGTAACCACTCATACAGTCCTCCTTTGCATAGCTCTGGAAGAGAAGAGCAATGTTTTTGAGCAGCCTTTTTTTTTTTCATTGTGAGAATTGTTTTTTCAGCCCCCCCAGAAGACAGACCAGTTTCACAACATAAAGCTTTAGGTAACTGCTTCCATACAGCTCTTACCATTGCAATTACTTGGTCTTATGTATATCATGTTGGTTTTGAGATAAATGGTATCAAAAAGAAAAGTGGAAGCTTACAGATTCCGGCTCCATAGATAAGCTCACCAAACAGCTTTGTACCAACCTGGGGATCCTCGTTCTGCTCCCCAAACATGCGCTTCAGGATTTCCCGAGGGTCCGGGATTGGGGGAAGAATTAATATCTTAAGCCTTCAGAAAATGAAGAAGAAAAACTTCAAATGAATTCATTACAGAAGAAAAATCATCATTTCCAAGTCACAATTGGGTGCAGACAAGAAAATGTGTGGAGTCAGCTCTGACACCACCAGTTTGTTTTTAGCTTCTGCGCAACTGCAGTTGGAATTCTTTAATTCCACACTTGTATGTGCACTTCACGTATATTAATTTTGAATTCAGACTTCACTGCTTAAAAAGAGAGGATGTGACACCCGTACAACAAGAATCTAACTGTAAGCAGACATAAGCAATGTTACCAGCAGGAAAACAGAGCACCTATCTGGCCTACTACTCTAATTCCAATGGATGAGGCACAATGGCGTTGCCATTCTTGCTATTTGCTGCATGCTACTGAAAAAGCAACTACTTTTGAAACATATCACATTGTGAGCAATTAACTGGAAGACAGATGTGTTACAACATAAATCGAAGGCCAGTAAGAAGTAATGGACTGTAAATAAAGCAATATAATAATTTACCTTTTAAGGTAAACAAGTAGGATTATTGTGGACACTGTCACTATTAATGGAATGGTGATAATTAAAAGAAAATGGAACGCAGAGTTTGGGTTCTCACCTGGAAAACAAAAATTGTTCAAACTTAGGGATGTTTTGGGAGGCTTTTCAGGAAAAAAAAAATGACAATGAACAAATTAAGTCTAATTAACTCACAGACAATGTTTTTCAAACACGCTAATGCTTTCGTAGGCAAGGACTTGTTTTTCAGAATGTGATACTGTAATGTAGATACAGTTGGCAAGAAAATGAAAAACAGACTCAGGGCTGAAGAAGAGACAGCACTTGAAAGAGGAGACTGCACAGCTAAATGGACGGCAACCCAAAACACAGAAGTGTAAGCAATAATAGAATTCCCTTGATCTCTCTTCATGCAACATCAAATACCTACATAGGAAGATGATCCAGGACACCCATTAACTCATCAAGCAAGGTATGAGATTCCTAACAGATAAATTCAAACTCAGGGAAGAATTGCTCTCACCGATGCTCCTTTCTTCGCTCCAATCACTGTAGAATTTGCTGCTGTAGCATTCAACCTTGGGCTGTGCTCTCACTTGGAAGGTATACTTGCTATTAGGGTCAACACTAGGAATCGATGTAGAATTAAATTTAACCTAGCATAAAAGGAAAAGGTAATTTGCTTTGTATGATTACCAATATAGTTTTTTGGTTAAAAACAAACAACAAAAAAACAACAATGAGCCCCCTTCCCTCTTGCAGTTATTGTAATACTGATGTTTTGATGGAAGATCTTCTCATGAATATTGAGCTTCGCAGAAAAGGACATGATAGCATCTAACCAGCAAAGAGTGCCTAAACAGAGATCCCAAAGCTAAGATTTAAACTGACTCACTGCTGTACCTATCATACAGCATTTGGCAGAAATGATTCAACTAAGACTCAGTGTCTGACAAGGTGCCTTTTGTTCTATTTTTTTTTTCAATATAACATCTATGACTTGCACTGCCTGCCCCACTCTCAGACAGGCCAACAATACTGATTTAATTTAACCATGAAAAACTCTTCTGCGATGTCTCCACAGAGAGCTGGGCTCAAACTTCACATATTTCTGATAGAAGACGCCAGTTCCCTGAGAACTGTTAACGTAATTTGAGTTTGCTAAAGATGCTCTGCTGGACAAGACTGGCACCTTGCTTTTAAATTTATCTTGTTGTTTACCATTCTGATCAGCCAGCACAGTCAGTTCAACTACACAGATTCAGGCATGAGTACATCCAGACACCAAAGTCAACGCTTTTTATACGTACGTATGATCAGTATACTTAACTCATCAGGCAAGGTATGAGATTCCTAACAGATAAATTCAAATCCACACAACTTTTTTTTTCCACACCCACTCTCTGTTGTCACTTTTAATCTCCCACAACTTCCTGTACAAGGTTCTGTCATCTTGTGGGCAATTAATTTTGCTTCACAGTACTTGAGCCATGTCGTCTACGGACAAACAAGTGACGTGGCAGAGAGCAGACCAATAGCAGGCAAGCACAATGCCACCAGACCAAAGTTCCAGATCAAAGAGGAATGCTTAGGCACTATGATATATTTCCTGGTGAGTGTCGTTACTCAGTTGAACAAATAGCTCTTTACCAGAGAGTTGTTACAATTTATTGCTTTGTAATAGACAACAGCATGGATTTGGAAGACTACCGTGGATTATGTTGTATATATATATATTACTACTGGAAAACTACCATGTGGGAGAAAAATCTATCAAATCCACACAATGCTTTCAGCTAGTGCAACCAGCCCATGCACACACAGCGCATAACATTCATTTCTAAACAAAGGATGAGTTACTATGATCATCAACACAAGTTACAGAAGGCACTCCTGCCTACAGCAGTGGGTTGGAACTGGATAATCTTTAAGGTCCTTTCCAACCTAAGCCATTCTGTGATTCTATGCACAGGGAAAACAAAACAAAAAACGACTATTAGATGTAAGCAGTGAAAACTCACTTGAATTGTCTGAGCAGTGGTCAAGTCACCCTTGTGATATCTCACTTCATAACTGAGACAATTTGCTGGAATGGTGCCCGATTCACTCCACTGCAGTTGAATTCCATTGTTAACATATGATAGTTTAGCTATCATTGGTGTGGCAGGTTTTACTGACATACAAAACAGAAATAAATGGAAATAATTAAAGACGATATTGCATTGGTTACAGAGGCGAACAGAAGTCCTACATTGCATAATGTTACACACATACCAGCTTAGCAACAGAAAGAGGAAAAAGCACCAAAAAAAATAAAGAATCAAGACAAAGAATAGAAATGAGTGAAAACTCTCCCTGAGAACCAAACCTTATCTATATAATTTCTAAATCAAAGATCAGTGGAAGAATGGAACAGCTAATCACTCTGTTTCTCAAACACACTGACATACCAGCAAGTTTCTTTTCCTCCACCATTTTTTCCCATCCCCTCTACATGGCATTCAACTCACCAAGGGTGGTAGGATTTTCAGTCACGCATACAGGCATAATATTTTCGGAGTCATCTCTGATCAATATACTGATCAGTGGGTACCTATTGGCAGCCTGAGGGAAGGCAAAACTGAAGGCACATTCAAAGCTTCCTTGGCTCACAGAATAATTTTTGCACTCTTTATGTCTTTCCAAACCATCAAACCTATAGGAAAAATAAAAAAAATAAAATTAACTTCAGAAGAGAAGGAAGCAAGGGGCAAACTTATTTATAAAGCTCCTATAAATCCTGAAGGCAGATCTGAAGTTGTGCTATAGCATATTTTTGTTTAGAATTAATTTTACGTAAAAACCTTCTCACTCCTATCAAGCTTTAGGAAGAATATTATTTTCATAAAGTGTGTCCAGCAGCTGAAAGAGAGACAGGTCACAGTGTTTTTACTGCCAGGCATCAGATTGATGACTGCTTTCAGACTGAGTCCTTGTTTTCTCCACGGGGAAACAATTTCAAGGGAAAAAAAACAGTGAAGAGTTTAGAAAGCAAACAAACCAGGATCACTTGCTGTCAACAGCTGTGCCTGCGCTAGGATGAGGTGACTAATCTCCTTCCACAATGCCTGAGGTATGGCTGTTCTTGCTAAAGATGGATGCATTTCACCTACAGCACGCGTCTGCTTTCCGAAACATACCCAGTACCAGTGAGGCAATGACTGCCTTCTTCCTTGCCTCCCCGGGTTCCACTGAAAACATTCCAGTAACTTTTCCTCCACAGAAAATGAGGGGATTGTTCTCAAACCAGCAACCTGGGCTCTGTTTAGGAGCACAATAGGAATGATGCTTCCCTGTTTCACACTGCCCTACTGAAGGGCTGCCAAAGGCACAACTGACCATCCTATTTTCAGGTTCCCTCTTGATTCTGTTCTTCTTATCTCTAATTTTAGTCTAGGAAAGAAGAGAAGCATTCAGAGCAGAAAGTGCTGTGTAGGTACATCAACCTGCTCTGGTAAGCCTCCATTTCAGCAATGATTGCAGTGCACTGACCCAATTTGTTTATTCTCAGCTAACATTATACCCATGGCATCCCACAAGCCCCATCAGCCAAGTTTCTGACCGCACTGCAACCCTCTGACTTTGAAACAAGAGTCTGTTTATGGCAGTCAGCTGGCAAACGTGGATGATGATAAAAAGATGCTCTTCATTACATGCAGCGTGAATCAGTTATTTATGACATAGAAGATACAAACAGAACTACTAAATGTTAATGCTTCCATACCATTTTCCAATGATTTAAGAGCTGACGTGCACTAGTGAGCAATGCTGACTTAAATTGCCCATGCCTATGGGGCTGCAAGGAGAGGAACCAACATACAGCTCCAGTGCAGCTGTTCTTTTTCCTTGTTTGAATCCACAATTAGAAAAAAAAAAAAAGGGCTTTAGAAGCAGCAAATCCTTCACATAATAAACATAACAATTTCCTGGACTCTGCAGTAGCAACTTCTGCAGCCTCCAGCAGCTGAGCTTTCTGTTGGACAGGACACCCTTGTACACAGAGCTTTCAGGACAACAGGAAATAAAATGCATTAAGTAATCTACAACTACAGATTAGCACTAAAGCAGTTTAGGGTTGGTAATAAAGTGTTAATACAAACCAGTAGAATAAACTGTAATTGGTATCCCTACTTGCATTCTCTCCGGGATGCCACATACAAAGCATGTACTCCAGGTTGTGCCAGACACAGCTCAAGCCAACAGCAGCAGTGCCTGGAACACCTGCAAGGCAAGTTTGAAAGTTTGATTTTACCAAAGTCTTCTCGCTGCTTTCCGAAAGTCAAGCATCCCTTTTTATGTAACTGAAAACGTGCAAAAGGCAAAAGAAGAGTAATGTCCCAACTCGTGTTGCTGCAGCACAGCAAATCATCAGTTCCAGCTGTTCACTGACATCTCGCCAGGACAGCTCCTGAACAGCAGTGACTGTAACAGCCATACTCAAAGTTTCCACCCCACGTGAATTACTACTCAGTTACCTGAGGTGATGAGCCAGGAAAATATTTTGTTCCTACTGAACTACAGATACTTCAGAAAGGAATTAAAGTACACAACCGTCGTAGGCACAGTTTATCATCATTATTATGGACACCTTCCTTAAAAACAGTCAATTATATTTATCTTCTCCGGACAAAAATATTACTTTCTCAGTATTCTGAATGGTTGGAATAGATAATCTTAGTGATCTTTTCCAACCTTAGTTATTCTATGATTATAGACATACCTTTAGTTCCTAACTACGGACAAACACTGGGGTAAGTTGGAATTTCCACTGATACTCCTAGACATCCAATCATAGAAATAAACTTACATGCTAGTGACTGACCAGTAGGTATAAATCAACATAAGTTCCCTCTTATCTCACAACCACAAGATGGCAGGTAGAAGATGAATGATGGTGATCACAACACCTTGGAAGTGCATTTAAATGTGAAGAGCTTGCCCGTGAGACTTCAAGTGTCAGAAGATGCCATTGTGTGCCATTCTGTTAAGCTCTGCCAACTGACCTTCCCTTTACCCACGTATCTCTCAGACATATTTTGCTCTGATGTATTTCTATGGTATTTTGCTCCATCTCCTCACCCAAGAGATGCACGCCAGCCTCAAGCCTTGCTGTTCTGCGTTACCTTTTGGTGGAACAGAGGTCTCCACCCATTGGCTGTGATTGGTGGCATTACTGTTCTTGCACTCACTTCTCACTTTGAAACGCATCTCCTTATTCAAGACTGTGTCAGTCACACGAAAGAGACTCTTTCTCCACTCCTAGGTTTAGATGGGGGAAAAGAAAACCAGAACATTTGGAATATTGCATCCAATACACAGAAATTACTACAGACACACATTTGAGTCCATTAAAAAAAAAAAAAAGCTGAAAGCCCAATGAAAAGCCCAGTGACACGAATATCTGACCGCACATGGAAGAATTGATGTCACTTAGATGTTTGTTTTCCTTATCAGACACGCTCCCAACTCAGCAAGAGAATTCTGTGCGCTCGTTCATGTCTATTGTAATGGGAGCAAGGAAACCCACCACAATGGGGGTAAGGGATCAAAGATTTCGCACAGTGTGGAGGAGAATGATCCTGCAATAAGTCCGCATGGATCTAACAGCTATTTCACTGCTGCTGACCTTATTTGTTAGACCCTCCCACAAACCATTCCACTTGCAATCCAAGCAGGCTTCCAGTTAGTTACTGAAACTATTAAGGAAGTAAATATCCTTCTGCTGAGTTAGCAAGTTCAACTGACTCACAGAAAGGTCTGACAGCGATCATTAGAGGAGAGGCTGTCAAAAATGACATACAACCCTTTTAGCAGTGTCCAGTCATCCTATCAGCTCATCTGTTTGTGAAACCACAAATCCCAGCACATCCTGGGGCTCTCAGACAGAACACAGCAGTCACAGTGCAAAGGCCATTAGGAACACAAACAACAGCTCAACAACAAAGGATTACTTCAGCAGGCATCCTTAGGGGCGTTCCATTGATTTTAACCATGCCCAGCACTGCTGGCCCCATGGTCAGTGTGTACTTCAAGCTTCAAACTCAGACCGTTTGAAACTACTGACGGATGGAAAATTATCTCGCTAACTCTCCTACAGCCCCCTCAGTGTCACAGAAACGCTTCTTGTCATTGTGATCAAAGAGTTCTCAATCTATAGTGAGACACACCGAGAATCACACCTGGGATGCAGAACACCCAACACAGAAAGAAAAGCAGGAGAGCCAAATGAACCCATTTTCGAAAGAAAAAGATTTCTTCCATGCTGTCTTCATAACACAAAGCCCACGAGCAATTGGAAGCACAGTGCTGGGGCAGGGCAGGCACGCACACTCCCACATTATTACTGCAATACTCCTGTGTTATCGGGAGTAGTTCCATTATCAGAGAGTGACAGGTTTTTTTCTCCATATTCCACGTGTTGGAGTGACTCGTTTTTGAGGTTTTGATCCCACGACAAGAATCAGAAGTTGTAATACAACTGCACTTCTTAATATGTCTACAGATATAATAATATAACACACACAGATCTAGCTTTATCACAATAATATATTCACCAGAATATACTGCTGAGCAGCAGGACAAGAGGAACTCACGTTTTTGTGCTGAGACACCTCATCGATCAGGATGTCACTGGAATATTCCAGGTCACAGCTACTGCTGATGTTCTCCGGGGGATTCCACGTCCAGTTCAAGGTGCAGATTTGGATAAATGAATAGTTGAGGTTGGATGGAGGGGGAAGAACTTTTTCTCCTAAAAGGAAGAAGTTATTGCTATAGCAACTCCATTGCTCCACATTTCACCATTGATAATGACAGATTTTTAGCTCTTCATCAGAACATAAAGAGCATTCTTTCATGTTTGCTATCAGAAAAGCTACTGTCCACCACAACGCCTCCACCATTCCCATTAACAAGGTCCACTGATTATCACTATAAGAAACACGGAATATATTTTAAAGTGATTTCAAGGAAATCACAGCATAGAGCATCTGTGGCAAAGAAACCAATGTTTATAGGGAAAGATGAATCTCAGTGCCCGAGTTTCCCATTTCTTGTTGTGAGTTCGCATCACGAATGCCAAATCTTCTGCAAATGTATGTAGAGCCTATGAAGCCGTTGATATTTTACCCTACCCACAATTCAGCCATCAGTACAGGTTCAAAAAGAACACTTCAAAAAGAGAAAAGCCATCACCACTCGTAAGTGACAGCAGTAGGCTAGAGCCACAGTTCAGCCCAATCTAATCAAAACCAAGAGTGTTACTCAAACAAACAGACAAACAAGCCCACAAGGCTTCTTCAATTACTCACATTTAACACCATGCTCTCACACGGTGAGCCAACTTAGCACAGAAAAACAGTAATTCACCACGGCTGTGCTTCAGTGGTAAATGTTTTTGCCTCCTCCAAAGCATGACGGAGCAGAGGAAAGCAGAGGAAAGTGACTCAGAGGTGCTGGGATAAACCCATGTGTGCCTCCAACCTTCCAGACCTGGGCACTGAGTCACTGCCTTCTAACAGCTCATCACGGCTCGAAGGTCAGATGGAGAAGGAAACAAGACAGAAAGTAAAAAACTGTCAGGAAAAACTAAAGCGTGGTGCACTCTAGAAAAAGTCAGCCACTGGTAACTCCCTAAGAAACCCTCAGCGTGCTACTAAAAGATATTTAATAAGAGGCCAAACGAGATGGCTTCTCAACTGCATTTAGGTCTCACTGCTACCTGCTGGCTGTGGAAGGGGTATCCCTGCTGTGCAGCAGCTCCACAAACACTTGAAACTGATACCAACCGGCGCTACGTGTCCCAGAACCCCCTCCAACATCTGGGGCAACGTGTGTGACAAGGGAAAACAGTGACATAGATAGGAGATCTCCCATCCAGTTCAGCATGCAACCGCACTTGCTTCTGCGAGCAGAAGGAAGGGGATGGAAGAAAAGGCAAAAAAAGGTTCCTTCAGCAAGAATTCTGCTGCAAGCGTCTCTCATACCATTATCTTAAATGTCCTGAGAGCCATTTCTACTGAAGCTCCAAGAAAATTCATCCAGCAGCTGCGGGGCTCTCTGAATTTGCACAGCCAAGGAACAGGCAGCAGCAGAGCTCAGATGTTACCATCTGTGTCACAATTTACATTCATAACAAAAATGAGAAGCGTCACCAGGATTTGCTGCCTTAGCCCAAACACTCCTGGCTTTTCTGAGCAGACAAAGCTTGCGGAATTATTATTGTTATTTTTAACAGCTGGTCTCGGAAGCAAAGAACACGCAGTAATTCTGAATCACCAAGCTTACAAAATTGTCTCCTTCTAGAACACCAAGCCAGAACACCATCCCCATCACCTGTCCCACTGCAGAACACATTTCCCTATTGCCTCTTCCACAGCAAAGCCCCTCATAACAGCAGCAGGGCCTGAGCCTGTCAGCTCCAAGTGCTGCTTCATGGAGGTCCTTCAGATAGCACAAAGGAAACAAAATGTGCCACCAAATATTTATTCAGCGCTCTGAGCGATGTCTTCTCCTGATCTTTCTTTGAAATCACCCACAAAAGCCACAAATCATTAAAAAAGTGAGTTTTCTCAGTGGTCACCATTTAAAAGGTCTGGCAAGAATTTTCTGCCTGCCCACAGTGAGAACTGGGAACACTCAAGGTTTGTAAATACATGAATTGCATTCGTGTAAGAAACTTAAATCCAAAAAGCCTCGAGCTGAAGCCGAAGCTTAAGAATTGTGTGGGTTCATCCAGCTGAAAATTTGCTTTTATTTGTGCATCCAGTCCAACATGCACACGTATATTTACATACAATATAGACACAATCTAATACTTCGTTATTCAAATCTCACTGGCACAGCAATTTGGCAGGACACCTCAACAGCCAAATACAAAACATGAAAGATACGACAGTTTGGAAGGTTGGAAGTGGGTGATTCTTAAGGTCCCTTCCAACACAAACCATTCCAAAGCTTTAATATTGCTCTTGAAAAGAAAAGAAAAGGAAAACCAAAACCAAACAGCGCAGTGATAGCTTCCAAGAAAGCACAGCAGTAATGCAAACAGCAGAGCTGAAACAATACTGCACATAAACAGCACCAAAACCCCACGAAACCTTTTAAAAACCATCAGGTGGAAACATCAACGAACGTTCTGTATGAATTACTGTAAAAATGTCGTAAAAAAAGAACAAAACAAACAAACAAAGCCCTTTCTCCTTGTCCTTTATTTTCTTAAGACGCACTTCGTGGTTATAAAGCAGCAATTCCCAAACGCTTGAGGCCGTACGGACGCATCAAAGCGAGCCATAGGGCTTCATCCCCTGCATCTGGACACCCCCCGCTTCTCATCAGCCCCCCACGCACCCGCTCCGCTTTCCTGCTCGCCCTTCCGAAGGAATTCGGGGTGCGGAGGGGCGGCTCGGAGCACCGCTGCTGCCCAGCGCACACCGCAATGCCCGCACAGCTTCGGCTCGGGTTTCTTAAAGCAGCGACAGCCCCAGGAACCGCCGAGCTTAAAAGATACCTGCGATCTGCCCTGCAGGGAAAGAGATGCAGAACTCCGAGCATCTCCCTAAGTAAGAGGCGCAGCGCAGTGCGGGTGCCGATCCCTCTGAAGCTCACGCTTCGGCGATGCAGCCACGAAACGAAAGCTTTTGATTTCGGTAGACGATGTCAACCAGCCCCCTAGCCCCCCGTCGGTCCGTCCGCCCGCAGTCTCTCGCCGATGACCGCTCCCCGCCGGCACCGAACCCGGCTCTTTCTGCCCTCCTCCCCCCGGCCCGGCCCAGCTCACCTGCAACCACCGCCGCCGCCACCGCAAAACACGCGGCGAGGAACAGCAACCGACACCGCAGCGGAGCTCCGAACGAACCCCGGCTCTCCATCGCTCCACCGCTCCCCCCGTCCGACAGCGACCGACCGCACGCTCGCACTTCCCGTCGCGGGGGCCGGGCCAGACGGGAAGAGCCGCGCCGCGGCCCGCCCAGGTAACCCGAGCCGAGGGGGAGCGGCCTCGGAGGGCGGCTTCGGCCAACCCGCGCCCACCTGGGCGGCCCCTCGCCGTGCCCGCTGCCCGTCGGTGCCGCTTCGTGCAGCGCCCGCGTCGCGGAGCCGAATGGGCGCCCAGCGCGTCTGTGGTGCCCCCCAGGGGCTCCTCCCCCAGGCACCAGCGCGGCCGTAAGCTCGGAAAGATCGCGTCTGGGGGAGTAAAAGTGATTTTTCACACCTCGGCTCCGACCGCTATTGAAACGTGTCCGAGATGCTAACGTCTTCTCGCGAAGAAATTGAACGTGTTAAGTGAGTCCCCGGTAGCTCTCGTGATGTTACGCTCAGTTCATCAGTTCCCCCTACAGCAGAACTCGTCGCTTCCAAATCCCTCCTGCAATTTTGTGCCATCGCTGTAGCTGCCATCTGAACTAAAAACGTGCCTTGTTCCTTTTCCTACCCACCATGCCAGCTCTTCCTTATGCAAACTTTCCCAAACTTCCTCCGCTTCAGCAGTTTCGCAATCAAGATTAAGGTTGCTTTTTGCTCTCTTTTATTGGTGTGACGTGGCTGCAGTTTTCCCAGATTTCCACATTAGTGGAAATACCCCACGAGTGATCTTTTAATACATCCCAGGATAAGAGAACATTCTGGACAAGGCATTTTCCTCTGACCCCTGCTGTTCTGGTTAGCATTCCTGCTACTGGTTATCAACAGAGAACAGATAGAAAACTGCACGGAACAGAGAGGAAATGTTGGCTAAATTTCAAGGCAAACCGAAACTGATTAGTGAGGATTGCTTGTTCCCACTCATCTGAACTGTTCAGTATTTCCTCAGCAATTCAAGGAGTTTTGCAAGAGTTCATCTGCTTTTCAGAGCTCGACTTAGAAAAAGGAAAGAGGATCTTTTTACGATAGGGAGAGGAATGTCCTGGGCCAGTGCTGTAATTTTTCTTTTCTGCCTGTTTGTTTGGATATTCCTGGAAAAACAGGAGGGTTTAGCAAGTTTCCTAGCTGCTGCTAGAAAACATCCATGGACTCCAGTTATAAACAAATGAAAATCACTACTTCACATTGCAGGACACGACGATACTCTCAGGCTGTAGAACTGCATGTAGCTGATGTGGACTATGGTTGCTGCAGATGATCTTTGCACGGCATGACCAGGCAGACCCAGTGACCTCTATCTTGCTTTCAGTTTCCTTCTCAATGTTTTCTTTCCTTCCCCCTTTCTATTTTGTCCACTCTATCTCCTGGGACGTGGCACCAGGCGCACAGCCGGGGCTCAGCTCAGCCTGTTGGCTGCCTGCCTGTAGTCGGAGGCAGAAGCAATGTTTCTCCCTGCCCCTGCTCTCATGCTATCAGTTTTCCTGTCCACATCTCAATGCAAATGGAGCTCCTGCCGAATGCTTTGATCCTCACCACCTCCCCCGTTTCCCAATCCCAGTGAGTCCTGTCCTGCATCTTGCTGTTGCAAGCCCTGTGCTTCCTGATGTTCTGAGCTAATGAATCTGCACTGCAGTGCCTGGATCTCATGCTCACACACCTGATGTGTTTCTGAAAGGCTCTGTTAAATACCTGGCACATGGCATCACGTCTGGTTACATCGGAATAAGATCACACTGCTGAGCTGCCCTTGGCTGCGTGCTCCTGCCATGTCCAGCCATGCAGTCGTAGGGCTGCGCTGTGACGTTGGTGACACGTTCCAAAAAACAACAGTAATGCTTTGTTTTCCCTCCTCCAAATCAGGTTAAAAGATGGATGAGATGCATGGCGTGGTGTGGCTGCATGGTGACTGGGTGCAAGAAGAGGCAGCAGTGATGTGCAGTGTGGGGCAGGGGGAGACTGTCCTTTCTGAGAGCAGAGATCTTCAGTTGCCCCACATCAATCACAAAGTTCTTTCCTCGTCGTTTATGATCTTGCAGCAGCTTTTGTGGGTACTTCAGATCTCAGCTGACATCATTACAGGCTCTTCAAAAGACAGATGGGGTCAATTCAAAGAAGAGTCAGCTTGATTACAGTACAGTTGGATCAGAAACACAAACATCCAAAAACATTGCTGAAAAAACCCTCTCTGACTCAGCGAGCCTCTCCCTTTTTGACCTCGGTGTTCTTCAGGCCAGGCAAAGAGTTTTAGAGTATATGTGCTCCTAACAGCCTCATAACTCAGCACGCTGCCTGCGAGCTGCTACCAGCACCTCTGAAATCCAGAAATGATGTGGCATAAAATTTAAATCGTTCTGAGAGCCCTTTTGGGTAGATGTGGAACCAAGCGTGCTTGTGTAAAAAAATGGTATCCCTCCCCAAAACATGGTACTATGAATGCATGCATCAGTTCAAGGTCTGTTTAATTCACCCATGTATTTGGCAAGGGAGCGACTCCTTCACCTCCCATTGCTCCCAGACAGGTGGGAACAAATCTGATTCTGCAGCACGACTTGCAAGAATCCTGTGCAGGAGAGCAGAAGCAGCAGTAGAAATGAGGTGATAGCAGTGCTATTACTGACTTCCGTTGCATCACACTATAGCTGCTACAAATGCCTGGGTTGGAATATTTATTATGTACTGGCAACTCAATCTCCCCATCAGCTGAGTTAATGGGAGCAGAGTGACTGGAGATGTTCCCAAAGAGCAAAAGTCTGGGTTTGAGAACTGGAACTACACAGCACAGCAAAACCCTGATCATGAACTTACTGAACATTTTTCTTTTTTAGGAAAACAGGCAGATTTGCCTCCAGATTTCCTCACTGAAGAATCACACTTCTGGGATCTTCAGAGAAAGGCACGTGACATTTGTGCTCCTGTGCTACTTCTGAGTCAACCTCTTCCACTTCCCAATGAATAATTCAGTGCTAATCCTAAGATTTGGTGTGCTTACGCATCTGAAGGTTCTTTTTTTAAACCTGGAGACAGTGCATGCAATGGCACATCTGAGTGATTTTGGTCCCCAGCATCTTACTGTGGTGTTGGCTTCAGCTCTTCATTCTGTTATTCAGAGAAGGAAAAAAAAAAAAAAAAAAAAGAAACCTAAGCAAAGTACATTGTTTGCAACACCTATTTTTCCATTTTGTAGTCTCTGAGTATGCACTGGAAGAAACTCTCCCTTCTTTGGGCTGAATGGAATTACTGATTCTCCAAGAACAAGACAAGGATACAAAGAGCAGTGTAGGAACACCTCAGGATTCTCTGGAGTTGCTTTGTGTATTACTCAGTGCCAAAGTTACAGTGGACACAGCAGAGGTGAATGGGAGGTGCTGCTCTGTGATCCCAGAAGTTAAGCAGGGCTGTACAACGCACATCCACCCAGCACACACCATAGAAGCACTTCTGCTATGACTTGCTAGTAGCAGGTGTCAACCACGTACAAAGAGAGTAAATTACATCCAGAATAACTGAAATTCTGACAGCCACGATTTCCCATTTATTACCCCATCTCATGGAAAGTTCTGCTTTTGGAAGAAAATCAGAACATTAACAAGTGTGCAGAAATACATCCTCAGCTGCAGGAAATTCCAGGTCCCAGGCTTTTTTATTTTGAAAGAAACATTGGAATGATGTCTTCAAATACCACTTTCTGATCTGTGTGCAGGAGAAAAGCCGCATGCCAGAGGCAGCAGTAAATACTGAGGCTTTGCCAGCTCCGTATCACGCAGGTGAACAAATCTCTAAAGCATGTTCTTGTGTACAGAGTGCTGGCAGACCCTGGGTGGCTCTACATGCCCTGATCTGTTTGGCTCTAACACACAACGATCCAAAAAAGTCCCGATGCTGAGAATGGTGCTCCTAATCCTCGCCGCCAGGCACCTTACCCACTGCTTCTCCCTTTGTGCAACCAGCAGAGCGTTTGCAAAATGACCGACGCGTCTGTTGTGGAGACTTGACAGGTTAGACAGCAATTGTGCAGCAACAGTAATTAGAGGCCTACTTGTAAAATACGTACGTGCAGCTATAAGGATGTTAGAAGGAATGTCTGTGAATTAAGCTATCGTGACCAGAAATAAGGAAAAACAATGCAGGGCTGATTTCACTGGTAACAATTACCTATGAAAAGGATAGGAAGGGAAAATGGGAGCACATTCCGGGCAGAGTTGCCCGAAGATAGGAGTAATGACGGATGCAGCACTCTGCAGTCTACTGATCATTCCCTATTGTTCTCAGATTGGTACAAACACAAAGCAAGGCCAAGCTGGTTTGTCATCAGTGTCATTATATCCTGTGTCAAAAAGGCACCTTTTCCATTGAGATTCTTCTGTTCTGCATCCAGTTGGATTATTTAGCTGCAAGAACAGGGGACAAATCCTTAAGGTATGAGCGTTTTTCTTATTCATTTATATATGCTAATTGAATTAAATACATTTTTTTAGCTGATTTACTGCGACGACTTTCTTTCTATATTGACATTAAATTGAAATGACAACTCCAAGACCAACAACAGAATTAGAAGTGAAGACAAAAATTCAACTTGGAACATTAGAGACATCCAGAGACATGAACAAGAATTTTGCTGGATTTCCAGCAGAAATAAGGAATATCAAGGGAAAATTCATCCATACACGTTATTGTGGAACATCCAAGACATCCAGAGACATGAACAAGGATTTCACTGCAATTCCAGGAGCACAATTTGATTTTCTGTCATATTTAAGAGGCATAGCTCAAGAGTTTTAGTATGTCCACATCCCATCATTGCTTGGCATGTTCAAAATAGGCCTTCAGTACCAGTATTTGGAATGCTACTAGCTCCAAAAAAAAAACCCCTTTTAACGTATTCACTATTAAAACTGCTTCATCACCTTTTAGAAAGGAAAACTCTCGCTCTCTGCCCTTGTATGTCCTTTGCTGAAAGATTCAAATCAATAAGGTAGGAAACCATACTTACATGTCCTAATCTCTCTTCCTCTTTCTTGCAAGCTAAATGCAGAGCCTGTTTGGCATGAGAGCACACACAAGCAGGAATGCGGGCTGGTGGTGACGTTTCCAGATCTGTGTGTTGCTTGCAACAGCTCACGGGTGGATTTCTGGATCGCAGCGTTTGTTTCTCAAAAGACAATTTCAGATATTTAGAATCACACTCAATAAACATTTGGAATGTGGTACGTTTACTACCTGAAGATAATTTTTCTTACAGAAATGAGAAGTCTAACATTCTATCAGCCCTATAGCCAAGCTAAATACCTAGGCTGGAGTCTTCTTATAATGGCATTTTATTACATCTCATTAGAAACCCCAAGCCTTTCCATATGAACTACTGGAATCATATTTACAACTGATGGGATTTTGAAAAACACAGACTTTAAAAATGTTGTCGGATAAAAGAATTCCTGATATGTTTTCTCCTTCCGTAAGGAGACAGAGCCAATGTATCAAAGCTATAGGGAGGGGAAAAAGGAGAAGAAGAATGATGGCAAATACATTTTCTCCAACACCTGTTGGACAAAAATAATACGTTTTCAGAAAACAGATTTGCTTCATGGCAGGGACCATTTATGTCACGTGATGTTAACACCAGTCAGGTCGGAGCTATTTCATTTCAATGCGCTGCACTTTGGTAAAAAACACATCTCATGGATAATAAGAACTTTATTGGAACGTTGTAATTCCCAGCCCACTTTCAGGTGTCCTCAGAGTTTATATCTGTGTGAGACCGTGAACGGTAAAGAGGATAAACTGCTATCAAATGACAGATCTCTTGGGTTGTCCTTAGTGGCTACAATCCATCCTTTTGCAGATGTGAAAGGTTACCCAGAATTCAAACCAGCTAAAGTAAACCCAGCTCTTGTGGAGGTTACAACCACCTGCCCAGAGGATGTACAATAATTATCATTTCTGAATTAAGTTTTACTTATCCAGGCCAGGGTGACTTTACTCTCATCATGCGAGTGCAATTGGGGACATCTGGGCTCCAGGTCTCTTTCTAGAAGGGGAAGGTCTCCTACAGTGACTACAATTTCTCCTTCACATCCCCTGCCCAAGAAAGCTTTTAGCAGCAAATATGATACAGTGCTAATGTCTATATACTCTATGCTCCTTCTATTTACAGAGTAGTTTTACATTTTATTATATCCCATTGTACAACTTTACATAGTACCATTATCATTTCAATTCCTTGTTCTGCAATTCAAGGCATACTTGGTTAACTGCCTTTCCGTGTCCAGTCATAGGTTTAGCTTTAAAAAAAAAAAAAGGTAGAAAAGAAGCACAGTGGTGCAATGTCCAGGCACTTTCCATGTTGCTCAGCAGAAGAAGCAAGCACCCTGTCTGAAAGCACGGTAAACTCAATGGGGGAGGAAAAAACCAAAATCTCTGCTCATGGCGGATTTTTAAAAATCCTTTACACAGTGCCAAATATTCCTGAGAAAGCTCTGTGAAGTGCCGCCGATACGTTTAGATTTCAGCAGTGGGTCTGAGAGAGCAGTAACTTCCATTGCTGGATGTGCCGCTGATGGCGCAGAAGACGTGCAAGGAGTCGTGCATCCACGGCGAGTGCATTGGGTCTTCGTGGTACATCTAGGCAGAACAGAACAGCCACAAGCTCAGTAAGTTTCAGTTTGTTGCCTATAAAAAAAGTTGTTTAAAAAGGTATGGGAAAGAGATATCCAACCTTGTCTTCAGAGCTGTTTCACAAAGGCAGCATAACAAAAATGAGAAAGAACAGCGATTTAGCGATTTCTGTAGCATTCAGATATATCTGCCCTTCTGTACATCACCAGATAGCCTTCAGTTATGACTATCCAGTCTAGGAAAGAAACAATTTTCTCTGTATAGAACTTTTAAATTGTATCTTAGCATCAATAAAAATCAGATCTAAATATTTATATATATAAGCATGGGGGATATATGCAGCTAAGTACCATATATGCAGCTAAGCAAACACCACTACATCTGTGCCACGTGCCAAGACTTTGCACTCTCTAACCTGAAGGATGCCTTACAGCACTGAATCTACATGCACCAGTAGAGCTGTCCTAGAGCTGAGCACGTTTTTACCCTGTGACTCATCAGAGTTTGTCTGAATTTACAGTTGGCAAACTGAGATGAATCACAGAGTCACAGAAACACCAAGGTTGGAAAAGACCTACAAGACCATCCAATCCACCTATCCAAGACCAACCACCCACCTATCACCAATAGTTCTCACTATCCTTGGGCCATCATCAACACATTCTGGACACCCAGTGTTCAGCCACTCGGAGGCTTCTTGTGCCCATCTGCTTGCAGCTTACCAGTTGTTCTCACATTTCCCTTAATTAAAACATCAGTAGGAAGGTTACAGGCTGACCCATCTGTCCCATCTCCTTCACTAAGTGTGCTGCCTGTGCTTCATGGCACTGAACACACTTAGGAAAGGACCTGCTGTTTGTAATGAGAACCCTTAATGAATATAATGTACCTTCATGTTTAACCGACTGATTTTGCAGGAGAGGAAAACACGTTTCACTGTTTAGATTGTCAGATACTGAGCCCGTTTGATGGCAGTACAAAGTTCAGGTCAGCGGTTATCTACAACAACTAACAACAGTGCTCCTAAACACCATATTTTAATACAGAATACTAAAGCCCCACAGAAGAAAGTGAAAATATATCCTTCCCAGTGAGCAATTCACTTCTGTATTTCGGTTGCTGTACTACTCTGCACATTAATCGAAGAACAGGGCAATGCATTTGTAAATATGTAAAAATCATAGGGCATGCTATAATGGTACTTCTTTGTTCCAGGATAATTTTAACCGTAGTGCTCCCACAGTGCAGAACTGAGTGATTTGTTTCCAATTTGACTATTGCAGAATTCAGAAACCACAGAAGTTCCAGCAGCTGCATGCAAATCAGATGTCCTGGAGGAAAGCATTTGCAAACAGCGCGGAGTAAGCAGGTGGCAACTCCTGTAACAAACAACTCTCTAACAAATTCAGCAGTGAAGTAAATAAAGTAGGCAATGTATGAAAAAAAAATGAGCGTGCTAAAGGAAAAGACCAGTAAGAGAAAGGTGGTCCTGAGTGGAATAGCAGGGAAACCTAACACAGAGGGGACGTGGCAGTCGCCTATCCACAAACACATCCTCTTTTATATCTCTGCAATAAAATCCAACCCCATCATGACACTCCACATCCTGTTCCCCTGAAATGCTATAGTGCTATTTTTAAAACACAACAAAACAAAACAAAATAAAATAAAAAACCTTTGAGCATTGTTTTATTGTGTATTAGTCTGACTTAGTAAAAGCAGCCCGGTGCACTTTGCTTATTTTGCCACTTGTGTATTTCTGTGTTCCTTTGAACAACTGCTCCAATTACTGTGGGATTTACCTATTTTCAGGGACTGCTGCAGTTTCAATTAACTGTCACACCTGGGATCGTTGCATTGAAGGCAAATAAACGAAGTTTAAGCCGTATATTATCTAAGCCATAAGAAGACAAAAGACATTGCGTCAGCAGGAGATTTTGGGAACTCTCCTAACTTTCAAGACCTATGAATCACAACAGTCAGCACTGCTCGTCTCACAGGGTTGCTGCTATACGCCTACAATCAGCTTTTTTTTGGCCATAATGAAGGCAAAATAGGAAAGCAGATGCTACTTCAGAAAGTTCTCATTGTATTTCACAGCACAATACTAGGTAGGTGTGCACCTCACCAGTGCTACAATTCAAATGTGTTTTCCTAGAAAGATCCAAGAGAACATTAAAACAGATGATGGAAGGCAGCACAAATAGTTTCACAGTGCTTGCAAGTGGTTGGTATTAGGTCAATGTTCAAAGAAAATATCCTTTAAAGGGAAAAAAAAAAAAAAAAAAAAGGAAGTCAAGCAGGATTTAATTGAGGAAATAGAAATTTGGAAATTTAGGCAGAGAATTTCAGCCTGTGACTTATCACAGCTTTCATGCAATATAGAAAACACAAAGCCAAACATGGCACAAGAATTCTGATGACCACAACATCTGGGAAACCAACGACACCAATCACTGAAGACTCCATCCTGCATACCAACACCAGGATGAGACTTTCTGGCACTGAATGAGAGGACTGTGGGGGTTGGAAGGGGCATCATCAGCTCCAAACCCCTGCTACAGCAGGTTCCCCAGAGCAGGCTGTGTGGGAAAGCATCCAGGTGGGTCCTGGATATCTCCAGAGAAGGAGACACCACAACCCCCTGTTCCAGTCTCTGCTACTCTCGCTCATTGCTGTTCGTGCAGCTAAGATGGAATGGGAAACCAACCATGTCATTGACATAACATGAGGTGTTTTCTATTAGTTGTCAGTGAGTTTTCATCTTTAGCTACTTTTCAAGCACAGAGAACCATTTCTGTGGGCTCCTGACATGCAGTACATGCCTGCTCATGGATGATGTCCGAAAGCTCTTTCACCATATCCCGAAAGTTTGATTTCAGTCCCTCATGGTACTCCACTTGATCCTCTTTAATGAGTCTCTCGTTGAGCTCCAGAGCAATTCCACAGGCTTGTATAAACTTCCTGGGAGGAAAAAAAGAACTTTAGGCACGACTGTTTCCTGATCTTCTACTGAAGCAGACAACCATGTCTTCCTGTTTCTCCAAGTCACATTCTAGGGCCATCCTGAGCACAGTGGATCAGGGAACGGGGAAGGACTGCAACACAGAACAGTGCTTTCCAAAGGAGCTCCATGGAGGCTCCATAGGCACGAAATGGCACTAAATGTGGCACACACCAGCAGTCCAACACAGTGCTCTCTGACCTTCTCCAGAGCTTGTGCACCACACACAGCTCCCTGGGCAGCCCAACCAGCTGCCATTGGGGTCACAAGCAGGCCGTGGTCAGGTGCACAGGGTTTGGTCCATCTGAGGTCAAATTTCTAGCAGCAGGCACACCCTGCATCATGTGGAGCTCCAATACTATTTTTACAGCTATTCATTTCGTGGTTTCTCATTTTCTTCTCTTCCTTTCACATGCATAGTTCTCCTTTTAACTATTTAATTAATTTATCTGAGACTATAACAAAAACACAAGCATTTCTGGGATTTTCCAGGATTTTTTTTTTTCTTCCCTGTGTGTGTGTGTGTGCATGAAACAGATTATGTTTGGTTTTTCTTTTTGGCTGCACAGCAGGGCTGGAGTGAAAGAAAAACATTATCTCTGCCCTGCAGCCATGCATGGCAGATTTGCAGAGATTATTTACTTATTCTTTCCATGGTTTGCTTGGTTACTTGATGAAGGTAAACAGGATTGACCCAAATGCTGCTCTATCCATAAGTTACCAGTGGGTGAAATGAGCACCAAGCAATAAATATAGGAGCTGGTGGGCAACTGCTTGCTGCTGGGAGGTCCAGAAAGTAGGGTGGCAAAGTGTGGGGACACACATAGAGCTGAGGTAAAGTGAGAGCTTCACCTGACTGGGTCTTGGAGGCAGTTTCAAGCGGGAGATAAAAGGCCATGGTCAAAGCACCTACTGTGAAGGGCTGGAGATAGATAGAAAAATGCCTGTGCAAGTCATGTAGTGTCCAGAATTAGAGACAGAATCAAGAATGATGGTCCCCCACAAACTGAAAAGGGATTTGTTTCAAAACAGTTCATCATTATGTAGTTAAAAATCCCTTTGGAAAGATGGGAAAACAACGCACGATACGAAAGGGCCCTGAACGTGACTATCAGGCCTCTGGTTTTCAAACATTCTTTCTTCACACTATCACCTCAAATACCCATGCACATAACTGGATAAGGCATTCAAGCATGGAAATCACAACCCTAAGACCTGACATACATTCTTACACTGGCTTGTGACACGGGGATCTTTGTAAATACATCTGAGCATGCAGCATCTGCTGATTTGGGGGACATGCGAAAACACAGCTAAAAAACCCAGGCTGCTATTTTTTATTACATTAGAAATCCTACCTGAACATTTCTTTCAACTCGTTCACCTTCTTAGCAGGATATTTGCTGGACTGGCTGTCACTTAGGAAAGCCCTGGCATAGGCCAAGGGACCAGCATTAACCTGGAACCAAAGAAATAAAAAGTCATTTACGCCACAGCTTTGAGTCACTAAGGGCATTTCAGAAGGTTAGAACGATTTCTTAAGGCTTGAAAACCATTATCATGTTATTTGAATGCCACCAACTCTGTGCTACTAATATCACCAGAGCAAGCCCAAGTCTTTAAACTTGAGTATTAGTTTTTCTATCTAGGTTTTGAAAGCCCAGAAGATAAATAGAGATAAAGAAGAGGAAGGGAGTCTGTTTCCTCATACTTTCCTCACACTTCTGCTTGGCAAGCAGTACGATCTTAATCTTAAAGTCATATATCCGGCTGGAAAAGTCAGGTTCACAGAGAGGTTATTTCTGCCTGATATTTACCAGTGCAATTGTAAAGAATTAAGTATATTTCAACACTCTTTCACGGCCACTAAGGTATGGTAACACTTAGCACTGCAAACACCACTGGACAAAATGCTCATTGTCTCGAGCCATTGGTGTAAGTAGCAGGCTGCTGGCTGCAGTGCTGCAAACTTGGTAGTTAATCATTTATGGAAGGCAAATGCGCCATGCTACGAAAAGCTGACTCACTGAGATATGTCTGTCAATGTGATTCTGAAGAGCTGTCAAGACTTACCTGCACGGAAACACAGCCTTGCAATTTGAGCTGCAGCTGGATCATGTCAACATCACCTGCAGAGCAGAGCTTTTGCAGCTCTGCTGTCTTGTCTTTTATTTCATCGGTTGCAACATCGATTGGTTTTAAATTAACCTGATGCTCATAATTGACTGGAATTCTCTTCTTTACATATGGGAAGGAGTTCAAAGCTGGCAGAAACAGCAAAGAAAGTTTGTAGATTGAAAGGCTGTTCAGTAAACAGAAGTATGTGTAGATAGATCAGTTTTACTCAGTGTGGGTGAAATCCTGAACAAAGTTCTAATTTAACAGCATCATTCATTCATTTATGAAAATTTGCCCATAGAAATGTAAGATGAATTCCCCCTCCCAACCAGATTATTGTACCACAATTCTGATTAAGAATCGGAGAAAATTTCTGATTCTTTTGGGATATTATTATGAGCTAAAATAAGTCTATAATTAGTTGCTGACCTATTGCCTCGTGTTCAGGTGCTTTAACTTACTGGTAAGAATGGTCCTTTTTTTACACTGTTCTTCCACACTGCCATGCTTTTTTCCAGATAAAGTGTAAGGAGTCTCAAATACAAATCTATTGATATTATGATTCCTTTCAAATTCAGTCTTTCTTTCAGAAAGTTCTTTGTCTTCAAAATAGGGTTTCACATAAGTCACTTGAATATGAGCGTACTTGGGGTCAAGGTCTTTAATGTTGACCTGTGAAACAAGAGAGTTACACTCTAGAAAAACAAAGGTTAGTGACTTACAATTGTTTAATTTATCTCCTGGGACCTGATGAACACTCTCATTTCCCGCTGTCCCAGCCCCATTGCATGCATGTGAATAACATATCAGGCACTCTCTTTGACCTCAGCAGGGATGGCTAGACTGTGAGCTAGCAGACACACAAGACAATGAGGTTGCAGCACAAGAAATACCTCATCTGGTGTCAAAAAAGGTGTACCTGGAAGGAGCAGTCATATCATGCTCTCCATCAATACAGCACATTCACACGTTACTCACACCTTCTAATTCAACCATGTTGGGCCATGAGTTACCACTCGTGCTGCACTGTGCTGTAGCATGCAAATCTGCAGGCTTGCACAAAACCTTTGAGGTCTCCAGTATTGCTGTTAGTAACCCAGATGAATCCATAGCTGCAACCCAAGGAGCATAAAGAGATATTCTATGCCCAGTGTAGTCCCAGGCCGTAGAGAGCAATATTTATGTCACACTCATCTGCTATGTAGCCCCGATGTTCACTGCATTTCACCAGCTTGTTCACACGGTTTAATTTTACCTTATTAGAATCCTGGATAATTTTTACGGTTTCTGAGCCAAATTTTTCTCCATAAAGTTTAAGAAGTCTGAAAGAGATCTCGGAAAGGCCCGTCAGCTTCGGCTCTTTGTAGATATATTCCTTCCCATCTTCTTCTTCAAAGAATGTCTAGCATTAATCACAAACAAGTCACAAGGAATAGACGAGTTTCTTTGCTTGGAAAACGTTCTTTCAGATTTGCTGGTTTGAAAGCAACTTTCTACTAACAATTCAGAATGTCAGTAAGGCTTAGAAGGCTATGGTTTGCACAGAGACTCTGTGTGGTCTAACAGATTCCTTCAAATACTGTGTAAAGAAATTTTATCCTTGACCAATACAAACACATCATCATAAAGCACAAAGGCCTGAGTATGACTAACCAGAAATCCAAACAGTGTGGCAGAAGGGTTTGGCCAAAGGTTGTCTTTGAGGAAGGTTGGAAAGAGGCAACCAGGACAAAAAGCACAAAAACAAAGCACAGAAAATGAGTAGAAAAACAAATTTTCTAAGCCCTGAAAGCAGGGCCATGTGAAATTTGGAAATAAGAGGGTTTTGTGTAAGCCAACGGGGACCTCAAGTAATAAATGGAGAAACGTGTTTCCGCTGCTTTGATTTCTCCTGTACTCAGGGAAGTGGAACTCCGAATATTTGTGGTAAGTAGAGAAAAACTTGCAGCAAAGATTGTGCCTGCATCACCAGTCCTTCCTGTAACGGAAACTGTGAAAGCCTCGTGCTTTGGCAAGCTGCTCTTGTCAGGAATCGTGACAGACTGTTAGAAGGATCTCTGTGCAGCTGACAGTATAAAGCTGGCAAAGCTCTGAAGTGCAAAACTAGATCAAGCATTGGCTGTCAGGATGATGTTAGCTTGCGTAATTTGACCCAGTTATTTGTGTAAATTTTAGAAAACCAAATTAGCAGTTGTTTAATTTGTTGCTAACTTATTTGCTTTTCACATATTGAAAGTACAAAGTCTGGAACCAAACATTTGCTGCAGCAGAAGTCAGTGATCAGATTTGTTGTGTGGGAAATGACAGTGGTGTTCAAAGGTAAAAACTCAGGATGGTTTCAGGGGTACACATCAATTGCTGTAAAAGAAGGAACCAGGAAAGGCAGGGCTAGTGTCATTTACATAGCATTTTCTAGAGAGGTGACCTGCATTTCCCCCAGAGCTACGGGTCTGCAAGTAGAAGAGGGCCATTTAAAGACACATGGGAGGTGAGATGTAACACACACCATTAGATTAGCTGGAAAAATAGCAACGCTGTGTAACTGCCTTCAGGCTCAGAAGATATGGTAAGATCACACTCTTCCTTGTGACTTTGAGCCCTAGATCTTCTCAATTTTTCCAGCTACTTAGAATCACAGAATCATAGAATGGCTTGGGTTGGAAGGTACCTTAAAGGCACCAGACCCTGCTGAGGAGCTATCAGGCTTTTAAGCTTAAGAGCTGCCTGAGCAGCAGCTGAATGGGGAAGGATGCCAGGTGAGCAGTAGCTGGTGAGCCTCTGCCTATACTTACTTGTCCATAAAATGCCACTCTGAAAAAGGTTCCAAGAAGCCTCTTCCTTGTGTGCATCACCTCCAGTATCTTAGCGTATGCCCCATGAAGCGTTCTGTATAGCTGAGTAAGTTTCTGGAAAGCAAAATTTGATATCTTGAAAGCTGAACTTCAAGTAGGAAATTCTAGCTAACGCTGGAAGCTACTGAAATATCTGAACACAATTCTCTGGAGGATTCAAACCAGAATTTCAGGCTTCAAGCCTGAAAGATACAACAGGCTGCAATAAAACCACTGTCCCTAGAGAGAAGGCTGGACCTACAGTCTCAGCACGTTCCCTTTAAGCACTAAGCCTTTAAGGGTAGAGAAACTTGCAGTATTTTCCTCAGTGATTATTATTTTTTTTTTTTTTAAATTAAAAACAGCTTTATGATGAAAAAAATAGATCATGATTTCTCCAAACTTCAGTTGCAGAGTTGCATGCTGTCCTGATGTGGAGGGGTCATGGGAGAGGGAGGGAAAGGGAAGCACTGTTCAGCAGCAGAACCTTACCAGAGCACAGATCACAGCAGGTGCTGGAAAGGAGCAAAGCTTTAACTCCTTTCACTGCATTATCTTTCACTAATTTGTTTAATGACCAGCACTGAAGCACAGCATGTGCTACACTGACGCCAACCCATTAATTCAGCATCAGAAATACAAGCACTTTGCTTTTTCCTAGCAGTCTGAGAAAGAAGACACACACAGACGAGTTCAAAATGCATACTTCAAATTCACGCCGCTTTTCATAGATAGGAATGATCAGTTTGGAAACTTCAGAAATGGTTTCGTAACGCTCTGCTTTCCAGAGACCATCCACACATTGCTCCAGCAACTCCACCAGGACTTCCTACAAGAGAAATCGAATGGGTGTGGTTAAGTCAAAAAGAAGAGAAATCATTTGAGCTTCAGATAATTTAATAAGTTCCACTGTTGTGGCCAGAGCTACAGAATTTTAAACACTGTGTGGCCTTGGTCTTTCCAAAGGTATTCTGTAAGTTTGGAATGAAAAAAAAAAAACCAACAAATTTTTAAAAAGTTTAATTCTTAATAACTCATTTGCACAATAGCAAGCAAGTATGCTTTGGTTATTTAGGTACCTCCGAAGAAAATGCCAAAGCTTTGGAAGGATACGGTTGGAAGAAAGAGGGCACACGTCTAAGAAGCACATCTGAGAACATGTGTACAAGCAGTAAGATGTGCTGCTGGGGATCCCCAGGCCTAGCACTGATGAATGGACATTCAAGCAGAATGCACATTCAAGAGCCACCTTGCTCAGCCACATGGCTCAGGGGTTGCACAGGGTGATGCAGAAGTAATTGTGAGTCTTTATAATTTACAGGAGGATCTTCTCACTTCCCCTGGGCAATGCTTTGGTTTCTGGACTGTTCTGCTGCCATGGCAGCACAGCCCTAACTCAAGGGGAGCCTGAGTTGACTTCTTGCTCAGCAGACCTTGACTTCTAACCTTCTGCACCTTCTTGAAAATACTATGCTGTGCTGTCCTGTGCTGGCGAGAGTTAGCATTTGCATAGCATGGCAAGCAAAGTTTGCGGTGTAGCTTTTTCAGTCTCAGTGCTAGAAAAGCCTTTCAAAGGAAACAAAAAGCTATACCAGATTTACGTATCTGAATTGCACACAAAAAATCCATCAGTGCAGATTTCTCTTGGGAAATTGCCATGGAACAGTCTTTTATGCAGATGCCGGTGTACAACTGTAATTTGTTACAGCTCACATGAGTCTAAAACTAAAAGTCTTAATTGGTTATCAAAACTCTTGTAGTCTGTGCTACGTGACCTCACCTCACTGTAATGTACGTCCATCATCCCGCCATCTTCTTTCATTGCACCTTCTTCGTCAATGTTGGGAGTGATTTTCCTGAAGGCAGTGCATCCACTGGGGAAGAGTTCTGTAGTAGGCGAAAGCAAATGGTTTCATGGAATAATTTATTTCAAATATATCTTGCTTCAATGGTCAAGGAAGCAGTCTATTGATAATGCAGTCCTACAAGCAGCAGAGGACTTGACTCTGCTCATTTTTGCTGCTCATTTGCTACACTAGGACTGAACACATCAGATTCTCCCCAACCATTTGCCACAGGAGTCTTTCCTGATGTGTGACTAACACCAAGCAAAACAGATCTTCCAGTGTGCTATCCGAAGTTACCTTTGACTAACTTGATGGCCTGCAACTGACTGATAGTCAGGAGAGAAGAACAAGGATGTATTTTTGCACAGAAGATGCAAAAAGAAAGCTATCATGAGGAGCTGGAAAGCTGGGTAGGAAGTGACTGGGATTGTGCACCACTAGCAGAAGGCACACTTCTTGATGCACCCCAAAGCTTTGAGTAGTTCAGCATGTACTGAACCATTTCCAGCCTTACATATACATGTATGTAGAATGTCAGTGACAGAAATAACTCAAGGCATTCACTTGATATTCCTTTTGACTTGTTCCTTTTCTTTTTCACAAGTTCTCCCCTGTGACTGTGGTCACAAAGGGGTGGCAACCACATGGGGGTTGTGGTCAGCAGCCTCTAGGGTACACATAAAGAATGACCACTTTCAATGCTTTCCCCTCTGCAGCTATGTAAAGTTTGTATACGTATCAAATAAGCATGCCCTGTTTCTTCCCACTTAGCCAACACAGAGTACAGAATGTGGAGGGACTTCCAGCTCCCTGAGCAAGGTCCTTAGAGACCTTTCCTGCCAACACAGTACCTGCAGTCATCTTCTGTGCAGCCTAACATTAAAAGCATGGGAAGCTAAGTCCTTTTCAGCACTACTTGCTCACATAGAGATGTGAAATGTGGTCAGTGTATCGACTGGAGAATTGATATTCACAAGTAAACTTGCAAAATGTTGTATTGTTACTTGAGTACACGTGAGTCTGTCCTTGCTTCCTGTTTTGCATTAAACCACAACATTCCCTTTTTTTCCTGGTTGCTCTTTGCTCATTTGTATAGTTAGGTTACATATTTGTATAGTTAGGCTATAGCCTCATTTTTTGACTAAATTTTGACTGCTTTCTCCTATAGTTTCCCATATTGACTATAGTGATACTTCTGATGAACATACTGGCAGACAGTTTTTAACATGGGCTTCCCCCGTGAGCACACTTCCTAATGTGAAATACATCCAAACTCTTCAACCAAGATGTGATGTTTCTGTTCTTATTTTACTCAGTGAAGTGCCAACATGACTACCTAAGAAGACCTGACCAGCCCAGTAACACTTGGATTACCTTCTTTAAAACTATTCATCATCTGATACCTTCATCATGCCACAATGCATTCGTTTTTTTGGTTTTTGTTTTTCTTTTTGAGCTTGTTTAGAAGAGATCCACAAATAACCATTTACCAAACTGTCACTCATTGCTGCATTGCCTCACGCTCCTCAAACAGCAAACACTTACTTTTCCTGTGCAGAAACTCTGCAACGAGGGCTGCTACGTGAACGTAACACATGGCTGCCTGCAAAGCACAAAGTGAAAATTAAAATATCATCTCCACATCTGCCTTGTTAAGCACCATGTTTTGAATTACGCGAATTACCTCTGAGAAATCTCCATTTTTCACATGTATTTTTGCCATACTGTCCAGCCATGTTTTCCGCAGCTCTGGGGTGCTTGCGTAAGATTTAGCTAAGCTGTACTGTAGATCTATCAGCATTTCTGGATCCTTTTCATGTTCTTTCATTTGGGCAGTGGCCATAAGCACCGTACGGATCCTCTTCGTCAAATCTTTGACTTCCGAAGGAAAAGCAGTTGCCTGATACAAAACAAATCTAATTAGAAGCAAACACAGAGACAAAAGGTGTGGCAGGCTTTTTCAAAGACTTTTGCTACCCATAAGCCAAAACTCCACTTGCTGCCAATCTAAAAAGCAAAGCATAGGAAATAACACCGACTGCAGTTTTACCTACTGCACACACGGTGCATACAGCATACAGTATTTAATGTGCAATCAGAAGTGTTTCCACCTGGGCATGCACAAGATGTTGACCATTCCAGTGCTGAACTGCAGCAGGTACTTCTGCGAGCTGAGGAACTGGGTGAGGGTTGGACAGAAGTGCTTCTTGCATGCAAACGCCACAGAATGGAATCATAAACCATTCCTGAAGCATTTTCCACTGAGTTCACCATGTGGACTGTTAGTGTCTGATGTGGTCACTCTAATTCCAAAAGTCCCATGGGCATTCTCACCACAGGAATGCGTTAAAGAAACACAGGCTCCAGCTGATCCTCTGCTACAAGCGGTTAGATTGAGGCTTGTCCAGCTAAGTTTTGATAATCTCCAAGGAAAAATATCTAATATCCTTTTTGTTCCAAAACGGGAACATTTCTGGGAAGTCATTTTTCTTTATGTAAAGTTGGAATTTCCCTTGTAGCATCTCGTGCCTGTTGCCTCTTGTCCTGTCCCTCTGCACCTCTGGGACAAGTCTGACTTCCTCTTCTCTAAAACCTCACCAGATGCCCCCTCATCTTTCTCTTCCCTGTGCTGAGCCTCGCTTCGCCCACATGCCAACTCCTCAGCTATGTCTGTGTCTGTGCACAGCACCATCTCCAGTGTCCTGGAATCTCTCCTGTAACTGGAAGATCTCTCCTGTACTCTTGCTCCTATGCAGGTACATAATCTGGATATAACAATGGTTGCATGATGTAAAATAAGATCAGCAAAACGGGGATTAGCAAAACCCCTATCAACATCTGTGTGCAGGAGGGAACAGAGGTTCTGTCATGTATATCCGAAATATAATTTTGTTATAACACAATTTAACACCTAACTGAAGTGTCAAAATCCCTCCTCCTGCCCTGAAGGTGCCTCATGCCATCCTTCCACCCCACCCCAGCCAGCATCCCGTTCCTTTAGCTCATGGAATGATCACAGAGCTGTAAAACTTTTCCTGTTTTTCTCAATCCAGCATTGGCAGCTATACTGGGAGCAATAGAGCAAATTGTAGTGATAATTTATTATTCAGTGGATTGGATAGAAACTGTTCATTCCAGCACAAGGGCAGACAATTATTTTCCAAAGAAATACAACCATCAGTGTTTACAAAAGAAGACATTATTAATATTAGTTACAATAAAAAAAATAATTTTAATTCCTGCTAATTACGGCCTTTAGGCAACAGGCCCTCCCCTGGCATTCCTGTCAAAGCTGGAAATTCTTAGAAAGCTCTTTGCATACTCTTGAAAGGAGCACCCCATGCAAAGTGTAACCTGAATTACAGTGCTCCCTCCTCTTGGCATTAGGCATCACAGTGGAACATGGCATAGTGCACCTGCTGTTGGCATAATCCCTTTTTTCTGAGCAAACAGCCCAGTGCAGGCTTATAAGTTTTACAGTTAGAACTAATTAGGCTTATCTAAACATGATTTTCTTGAGTGCATCCCCCATCTCGCATTAATGGCTGATAGCACACAATGTGATCTCTCTCCTCCAACCTACCTTCATAGGCCTGTCACTGTTTGCAAAGTTGTTAATGATGAGCAAGGAGTCCTGAAACCTCGTCCCACCGCTGAGCGCCACATCTGCTATTAACTGGCTCACTGCAATTATTATCTGTTGGGACAGCAAAGGAGCATTATTTAAACGAGCCCAATAGAAGAGCTTTATTGGCACAGTTACATAAAAAGCTCATAAAAAACATCGTGTCTTTCCCACAGTGTAAGCAAGGGCCTTGTTGTGGCTTCACTGTCTGACCTCCCGTGGGCAAACACTCCTCAGAGGGCCAAACTTCTTTGCTGAACAGCAAGTTCACAGAACTAACGAGATAACAGTCTTAACACGAATGCTGATGTGGAAGTAAGTACCTCGATTATTGTCATCTTCCCTGTTTTAGCACAATCCAGACAGCGTTCATCTGCACTCCAGGTATCTACATTTGCTTCAAAAAAGTAACACTGCAAAAGCAGCTCCAGCAAAATCCCTCCTCCTGCCCTGAAGGTGTCTCATGCCATCCTTCCACCCCACCCCAGCCAGCATCCCAAGCAGAGGTGTGTCTTGGAGCTGCAATTCCAAAAACACAACAACGTGGAGTGCTTGATGGAATTGTATTGCACCCAAAAAGCCCGGAGCCAATCACTGAAAACAGGCATTAGGCAAAGCCAGGAAATCCAGAAGCTTTTTGTCTATCTATAAGATCTCTCCTTTTAAAAATAAATGATGAGCTCCTCTGTAGACATGAGGTAAGACATAGCTACGTTGAGACACCCATTCACTACATCTGAGGCATCCAGGCATCCTTCTGCCCTCCTTTCCCCAGCTGCTCACCTGAAGGTGTGTTCTCAGAAATGTCCTCCTTTTGGTGAACTCAAAGTTGTTTCTCATCAGCAGATACAGCAGAGCAGAGGCTTCGTTCCTTGTGGAGGTCACCTTCGAAGTGCAGCACTTGAGGATCTCGTAGCAGAGGGCAGCACACATGTTCACCCTTCCCTTGAAAAAGGCTGAGGGAAACTTCACAAGAGACAGGCAAACATTAGAATATACACCACAGAATTACACTTACACCTACACCTACACCTAGGGCTTAGAGGGGCAAGAGCATGGGCAGTACATTGGGCTCAACCTTGGAAAGCCTAAATAAAACTTCTGCCAGAGCGTTGTGCTCAAAAGTAATTTGTGGGAATACATTCAGAGCCTACTTTTGACCACATTTCCTTGCTGTCCTTAGCTGACATGCTTTTTGGAGATGTGCTTGTGCATGTCCATCTGTCCCTAGCCCAAACAACAGTTGGGTTCAGGGGCAGATTCTCAGCACATCAGACAGACAGAATTCTGTCTCATGCCCTTACAAAAGCCCTAAACGTAGGAAAGAGAGGTTGCACCAGTGTCTGCTGTGGGAGATATCTGCCAGAGCCCTCCAACAAGGCCTGCTGGCAAACATGTCCTTGGATGCCTGCACCACTACTTCCACATGCCCCAGAAAAAAAAAAAACAAACACCTAAAAGAATGACTTCCCTCAGGAATTCCAGTATGCAAAAAAGGCACACGCTTGTCCCAAAGCCCCCAACACACACTGTGACTCATGCCCTTGCCCCCCATATTGAGCTGGCGCCAGGAAGCAGTGGAACAAAGCCAAACTGCAGTGTGAGTCACCTCAGTTAGGAACAGGGCTTGGGGATTTGCAATGGAATGGCCCACACTGCTGGAGCACATCTGTCCCCTGAGCAAACTCCTATTTCAGAGCGGCAGACCTCTATGCAGGACTTGCTGGAGCACCAATCCACCTGCGGTCAGAGTGGTGGTTGGTGGGGAGGGGACACTGCATGCTGCTTCCTTCCACCCCCACTAAATTGGGCTGGGCACAGGGAAGCAGAAGAAGGAAGGGTTTGGTGCTGGCATGCAGCCGCCTCCGCAGCCACCGCAGGGATGTGGCTGCAGGGGGTGACACCAGAGCCTGCTGGGGTAGTGAAGGCTGCTAGGACACTGTGGGATGGCACTCTGAGCCCTACGGATTTCTTGGCACAGCCATAACCACAGGCTTTATCCATGCAGGGGAGAGGTTTACTCAGTTCACGTCTTCCTGAGCATGGTCCATGAGCCAATTCTCTGTTCTATCACCTTCTCCCCATAGGAGATGACAGTAAATGCTGCCCATTAATTCACTCACATCCTCCAAGTCAGAGACTGGAGCTGTCACCCTGGCCCTCTATCTTTTATGCTAAATATATGTGATTCAGAAAAACTTGTATGTACTCAATATTAAGATCCCTTCCAAACTAAGCCAAACTGCTGGGGCCATCACTGTGGCATGCTGGTAAACGGGTTTTAAAACAGGAACTAAGAGTTGTGTCTAGCAAGACTACTCCATTGGGTGTAGTCCACCATTACACAGAGCCATACAGGTTAAAAGAGTGTGTAGACACTGCTCCAGCACTTGGTGATCTCTGCCTCTTGCTGAAAATAGTCACAGGGGAAAAAAATGGGAGAAAAGAAATGAATAAAATGGGGCCAAGAGGATCGAGTGTGCACTTGAGCAAGGAGCTATTAAGTAATTATTGCCTGTTGTAATTCAGTCCTTCCCCCATTGTGAGATGGAGTCATGCTCAGAATTGGGATTAGCCCAGAACTGGCTGCAGTGATACGAAATTGGGAGTGCACGGGCAGCACAGGGATACCCAAGAGAATATGGCTGGCATTGACTCAGCATGAATCACTGACTGCCTGCAGAGACTTATCAGACACTTCCAACCCAATGCTAGGGAGAAAATTTTTTCTTGGGAACCTGCTGGAGAACAAGCTCCAGTCTTCTCTCTGTGCCTTTCTCCTTGTGTTGCTCCAAGAGGAGAACCCATGCCCTGTTCACAGTAAGCCTGCATCCCCAGGCAACTCCCTGCTGGAGACTGATCCTGAGCAGATGCTATCACTCCTGGCACCTAAGCAGCACCCAAAGGGTTTGTGCTTGCCATATCTTTGGCCAGCTGCTGAGTTACAGCTGCCAGGGGCCATTATAAACCCCAGTAAAGCAGGGCAGACAGCTTTATGCTCCCTCTTGCCTTTTCCAGCCTACAAGGTAGTGAAGTTTCTAGCCTGCTGCTGTGAGATTGCGCTAACAGGGAGGCAAAGCAAGACTTGATGTGGTTGGATACAATCAGCTGTTGCAGAAAAAGAGCAAGGCTCTGCTTCCTTCAGGACCTGGGATTGGTGATGCCTCCAAACATATTCCCAGCACACATGCATGCAAGCAGCATTCATTTTAGATCCAGAACCAAACATGCAAACAATTATAGACCTTGTTTGTTCTTTGCTTTCTTACGACATATCTTTTTAAAGTCTCCTTCCTAGCAAATGACCAGGTTTAGTGAAGGAAGAAGGGTATTTTTAAGACAGATTTTAGGAAGCGAAATAGCTCTCAGTTTTTCCCTCCAACAATCATTTGCTGTGACACGAGATAAAAGGGGGATTCTTTTCATTGTAATTATGGCTGCAGAAGGCCATAAAAAAATGGGAAATTGTCTATTCCAGCTGTATCAAAGATATAATGCACTTTTGGCTTTCTCAAAGTTAACACCAATTTATAGCTAGCCATGATATGCAACTCAAAACAAAACAGCACGATTTCTGTATTTCAAAACAAGCTGGCAGGAAAACAAAACATCCTTGCACTTGCTGTGAAATGCTGTAACCCTCACCCCCAGTTATTTAATCCTCACTTTGTGTCTTAGAAAAGCCCTTCAGAGGACTCAAAAGGAAGTTTGGGACCATGTGGTTACGGAGTTGGCAAAGAAATCACTTCCTTATAGATACCATCTGCTGGGCTCATATCTTGCTTTTACAGAAGCAACACTGTGTCCTGCCATTGGGGAAACGTGAAAAATTAACTGAAAGAAATCTTTCAGATCTCAGGAGCAGTAAATCATAGAATGGCAGAGTCACAGACTGGTTTGGGCTGGAAGGTTCCATAAAGACCATCCAACCCCACCTGGCCTTCAGCACCTCCAGTGATGGGGCATCCCCAGCTCTGCACAACCCGTGCCAGTGACTCACCACCCTAAATGCCAAATCCTTTGTGGGTTTGAGCTGGCAGAAACGCAAGGAAATCACCTGGACCCCCATCCTCACAGCAGCCCAGAGTGCAGCCTGCACTGCTGCAATCGGTGTTTTGGAAAGTGAGCATATAACCCTCGCAGGGCTCCAGCTGTGAAGGCTGATGGTGAGATCAGATGAAACAGGTGTGTAGGTTTGGCTGCATGCTTAAACAACCACAGAAAATTTGCCAGGGAGGCAAGGAAGATCTCTTATTTGCTGTAGGCAGAATTCTTTTTTACGGCTAAATAAAATTTCGGCTAATTAAAGGGAGAGAGGAGCAGGTGGACTGTGTCCATGTGGGCTGTGTGTAGATCTGCAGCAGGATGTATTTCAAGGCTACGCAGACCATGGTCAAGCAGAAAACTTGACAGACACAGGGAAAGGCAGAGCAATAATCATCAATTATGCCCTGCAGAAAAATGGAGTGATTCCTTCTGGTTCCAGCTGCCAGTGTGGGAGGATGTAAGAAGCCCTGTGGAAAACCTCCAGTAGGAAACTGTGCTGTCTGGAGCCAGCTAGCTAGTGAGACTTCTGCATTTTCTGCTTTTCCTCTATCTGCTCAGGACAAACCAAACATCAATCCTAGGCATATTCATATTAGCTCTTAGCTTTGCTGTGTGGTTACAGTAAAATATTCATAGCACAGGCTTTCTTCATCTTTGAAAAACAAGTTTTAGATGTCTCTGTCTTATAACAAACTTTGTTCAGTGAGTTGTGCAAGACCTCCTTTGGAAATAATTGCTGCATGTCCATCACACGCTCGGCTGCTGGGCTGCAATCTCAAGCCACACAAATTTATCTCTTTAACAAAGTGTTGCATTCCAGTGACTCCAGAGCTTTTCATTCGTTTGATTATAACTGTGCAGCTTGGAAGCAATGGAGCTTGCGTGTACCTCTGGTATCGAAAATGTGCTTATGAGAAGTGGTATGTTGTGACAAACATGGAAGGAAATGCCAGCAATAGCATCACACTGCTCTGGTGTGGTTAGCTGTGGCTTTGAGCTCGGGGGGTTGGGCAGCCTCACTGTGTTCCAGGGCTCTGAGCTCAGCAATGCGCAGGGATTAGTTCAGCCATCGACCCTCTCCCACATGCAGCCAAGGCCAGGAGATATTGGTCTCCTCTGTCATGCCTACAGAAATCCCACAGGTTTGTGTTACGTACCTTGCTGATGAAAGCTCTCAGGGAGGCAAACACATGCTTAAGAGCTGCTTCTGACTGCCCATTTTTCAGAAAAGCAAGATGAATATCAAAAACCTTCTTCATGAGGGGATTGTGGCCATCGTTGCTTAAGAGCTGGGTCTGGAAAGCAAGGAGAGAATTTACTTCGCAGCAGTGTTGTGCCTGAAGGTGAAAATGACAGAGATAATTTTGCACCATATCAATTCTTAAGCCAGATGTGGAGCAGAGCCTTCAGTAAAACTATAACCAGAAACCATGACAATCAGTACTAACTTACAGTATTTGGCCAGAGGCTATTTTAAGAGAACAGAACAAAACCACATTGACGCTATTGCATCACTAATTCCAAAACAAAGTTAGGTTTTGGACAATGCTCTGTAAAACGTTCACCAATGGTCCAGGTATGCCTTAAATAAAACAGGCATTTACCAACATGACACTGCTTTCTCCATTTTGCTTTGTGAGTCTCAAGAAGAGTTTTATTTACGATCCACATGTTTTATTTGAAATTATTTATGCTGTCAATAAGAACAGCATCAGCACTTTTACTGCAGCACACTTCTGTGTGGTAACACTGGATGTCCGTAAAAGCAAAGCAGAAGCCCATTAAAGCAGAAGGGAATGCAGCCTATCCTGTGGTTTGAAAATCACGTTGTCTTGTGGTCCGGCTATATTAAAAAAGAAGCAACTGTGAAAATAAAACAAGCTTCAACTCTTGCATCTAAATCCTTCTGCTGCTGCCAAGCTGCTATGGAGCAGATGGAAGCACCAGGATGGACTTTTTGCTCTGTAACAGAAGCACAGGATATGACTTGTTTCGTGTTGCTCGGCACATCTGAAAATGAAATCTTGGTGGTGCTTATGCTGAGATACAGAGCTGTTCTTGCAACACCATGCAGAACACAATGCTCTTTGGAGGAACTGTGCTCATGAGTTCCTCCAACTTCGAGGAAGAGCTTTTCTGGACCACTATGTCAGTACTTGGTTGCCTGCCTGGGCCTCTCTCCATCACGAAGGCTCTGAGTCTTGCAAATGTCAGTGACTGTCACAAAAGTGAATCACTACATGGAGGGGACTGGTGCTATTTAGACTGTCAAGTACAGCTGGAATGCCTCAGTCCTAGAGACATCCACATTCAGCAACATACAGAAATCTAAATATAAGCAATTAATGATAGAAGCCAGTGACTGTTCAAAGCGTGCCAGACCTTCATTTCCCTTTCCACTGCCTCCTTACTATATGGTGGTTTCCCTTTTTTCCATTTTGCTAATGTGTACAATCATAACAAACAACACAACGCCCACATAATTTTCTCTGGTCTTGCATTTTTGAAGGAATTAGGAGATATTGCATAATTGCTCGGCAAGACTATGAAACACTCCATGCAACGAGCTGCAAATGATTTACTTCTGTAAACACTTCCACAATCTGTCAGTCTGAAAGAATGGATCACTGAAAGCAACAGGCACGCAGAAACACAGCACGCTGTTCTATGGCACTTTTGATTTCAAAGCTGACCTTGAAACTCTGAGTGAAAAAAGAGATGGTGTCCAGGACCGTCAGGCACACTTCAGTTGCTATGTTGCCCTCCAGCAATGCCTGGTGCACAATATCTGCTTCTGTGGTGCCTGCATCTGTGAATGGAAAGCAAATCGGGAGGAAATGGTGCTCAACACTCTGGTTCCCACCAAATCTAAATGCTGATACAAATAAGGTTCTCCCTTTCCACATCCCCAGGCAATGAGGAGCAAGTGACCAATGGACGCATGCACGTTTTCAACAGGCTATTATGGCATGGGCACACCTTGCTCTGCTGTACGTACTGTGGTTGAGCGTGAAAGATGTGTCCAAGCTGCCCAGGTGTTGGAGCCGTGCCTGCATCCCTCCAGCTCTGCTGCGAAGTGCTGGCATTGTCTGCGATTTCCTATCGGCTGCCACATGCTTGGACACCCAGACATCGTGCACCCTGCAAGGGGAAGGAAAGCTGTAGGATGGGATAAAGGTTGCTCCAGGCCTGGGGGCTCCAGCACAAGAAGAATGTGGAGCTGCTGCAGCAGGTCTGGAGGAGAGCTGCAAAAGTGCTCCGTAAGCCAGAGCACCTCTCTTATGAAAGGTTGAGGGAACAAGGTTTGTTTGGCTTGGAGAAGAGGAGACTCCAGGGAGACCTCATTGTGGCCTTTCAGTACTTGAGGAGAGCTTATAAGCACTTTTTACATGGTCTAACAGTGATAAGATAAGGGGAAATGGCTTTAAACCAAAAGAGGGGAAACTTAGGATAGATATTAGGAAGAAATTCTTTACTCAGAGGGCACTGACACTCACCAGGCACTGACACTAATGGCTAAGATGCTGTGGGTGCCCCATCCCTGGAGGTGCCCAAGGCCACAGAAGGGGCTCTGGGCAGCCTGACCTGGTGGGGGGGCACCCAGCCCATAGCAGGGGTTTGGAGCTCAATGACTTTTCAGGTCTCTTCCAACCTCAGACATTCTGTGATTCTATGACACTTGAGGCACCTGCCTGGAGACCTGGCCTCCCTCTCATGCACTAATGTGGCCCATCCCAATACTGACTGAACTACTCTCTCCTGCTTCAGATTGCCTTAAAGCTAAGAACACCAGAGCTGCTGCTCATAGGGCTGGGATAGAGCCATGCCTCATGTCTCACCTGCAGCCAGCTGCAGGGTACACTGCAAACCTGCACAGGCAGCCAAAAGTGCCTGGGGCTGGGGGTCTCCTGCAAGAGATTGAGGGGAAGGAAGGGGAAGGGTGCTACAAGGAGAGGATTCTACTCATTGCATGGCACTGAGCTGAGTCCCAGCATGGCCCCATAGACTCCCTGCCTGCTAGGTTTGCCCATTGTGGGTGCGAGTGCTCCCTTCCTGCCCGAGCTGCAGCAGGGAGAGAGGGGACGGCCCCCAAGCCCAGACGGAAAAGCACAATACCTGGCGATATTTCTCTTCCCCACGTATCTGAAGTGAAATAAACACACTCTAGAAAGAAAGAAAGAAAAACGTTACAGATTCTGCAGATCAGGAACAACCAGAACATTTTTAGTCTTCCCAGTCCTTGTCTGTGGACACACTCCTCCACACATGAGAGTTTGGGGTCTATATTCATGCGCTGCAAGACCTAAGACCCTTGCTTCTGAACTCTCTGGTGCTCTGCTGACTCCCCAGCTATCTGCTGCTGTGCCACCTCATCACACCCTGGCCAGACACCTCTAGGGCTCTGCAGGGCCCTGTGTGTCCTGAGAGGCAGCTGCACTCACTTCTTCCTCCTTGGTGCCAGCACAGAGGTGCAGGGTTTGAACTGCAGCCTCGTGATACTCACTCCAGAAGCACAAGGACGTTGATCAGCTCTTGAGGTGAGAATTTGTTCCAGTAGGCTAAAAGTGTATCTGAGAAAGAGAAAGACATACATTGAGATTCTTTTCTTTTAATAGAAAAGGGATCTTACAGATCCAAGCAGCCCACAACGGCTCTTGTCTTTCTGGCTGCCTTCTGGTACACCCCATAAGGAGCAAGAGCCACCAACCTTCAGAGATCATCTTCACAATGTAGAGGTAGCACATCAGGAGCGTGCGGATCTCAAACTGGTCCAGGCGGCTGCAGTGAGACACGCTGCTCCTCGTGGAGCTCCTGCGGATCTAATGGGACAGGAATGTCACGTGGAGGCCCCGTGGCCACGGGTATCTGGGCTGTGCTTGAGCACAGACACGACAGATCTGGCATGTGCCAGATCACAGAATCATAGAATCACAGAATCACCAAGGTTGGAAAAGACCTAAAAGATCACCCAGTCCAACCGTTCACCTATTCCCAATAGCTCCCACTAAACCATGTCCCTCAACACAACATCCAGCCTTTCCTTGAACACCCCCAGGCTCGGTGACTCCACCACCTCCCTGGGCATCCATTCCAGTGCCTGACCACCCTTTCTGAAAAGTAATACTTCCTCATGTCCAGCCTGAATCTCCCCTGCCGTAGCTTGAAGCCATTCCCCCTGGTCCTATCACTAATGACACGAGAGAAGAGGTCAACCCCCAGCTCACTACAACCTCCCTTCAGGCAGTTATAGAGACCAATGAGGTCTCCCCTGAGCCTCCTCTTCTCCAGGCTGAATATTCCCAGCTCCTTCAGCCTCTCCTCATATGGCCTGTGTTCCAGACCCCTCACCAGCTTTGTTGCCCTCCTTTGAACACGTTCCAGGGCCTCAATATCTTTCTTGCAGTGAGGGGCCCGATGCACCAGCTCTCCTCCTGTCCCCAACAGCACCTTGTAGGACATGCCTTGGACACGTCCCATCTAGGGATAAGCAGTCTGGAAATCCAGCCAAAGCTTTCTTTGCCCAGCAAACACATGTCTGGGCAGAGAAGGATGCCTTATCTAGCAAAATGCATGGCAGCCTTGCTATCGCTCCTTCTCGCTACAGCATCTGAGCTCTGCGACGATTTTGAAGTTTTTGCCAAACAAAATTCATTCACTTTCATGGTTTAAAGCAAGAATCTTTTTGTTAAATGTGTATGCACCAAACCAAAATGTCAGTAACTAAAGAAATAGGAACTTTCCACTTAAAAAAAGAACCATTTTGTTTTATCCTCCTGAGTTTTGGGAGTGCCTTTTGTTTTTTTCCCCCTCCTCTTTCGTGAGTTAGGCGAACACGAGAGAAAGTCTTCTGCTGTCAGTGTTTGAGGGAAAGGAAGGCTTGTGCATTCTGTGGTGGGAAAGAGGGGACTTTTAAAGATGCACCACATTGTTTGGCATTCTCTGTGCTTGCCCTAGTCATATCCTCTGACAAACGGATACAATTAAGCTCTAACGAGGATGCTTCTCTTAAAGCTGTGCCTCATATGTTTGGAAACTGACCCGCAGATCATATGTGTTGTTTATTCTGGGGCAGGCTATGGACGTGAGTCATAAGAACACAGAATTAAACATTCAGATTAGGGCTCGAGATACAGTGCTATGGCCAGAACTGTGCTGCCAACCGTGCCAAATTATCCAGACAGCACACACTCCAACAGAACTGCAATAAACAATGTCTGCTCCCATACAGAGCATTAAAGCTGTGCTCCTTCACAATGCATTGCTCTCACAAGGCTTTGAGGAAGTGATATGCACTGACAGAGAAGCTATTTTCTACTACTATGAAAAATATACCTTCAAGGACACGGATGAATGTGCCTGGCTGTGGAGATGAGGTGAGCTGAAAGCCAAATGTTTTCTGCAAACCCAGCCAGGTGTTTCTGCCAGCAGGGTGGAAGCACGTGCCCTGAGCTCTGCAGTGTGATGCTCAGGCAATTGGTTGTGCTTGGTTTTGTAGCCTTGTGATTCTTGTGGGGAACCCCCACCTCTCCTGAGCATGTCAGGACACAATCAGCAGGAGTCCGGATAAGCATTGCTTTGCTTTGCTCGTTGGAAGGGCCAATGTTTTTAAAGCTGTATCAAGGATTCGTGCTAACACAACACATCTGGAAAGCACCTGAAGGCAAACCAGGAGCTGGTCTGCACAAATACCAATTTCCATGCATGCGATCTGCCAACAAGGAGAGCACACACCATCTGGATGCTGCAGTCAGACCTCTTTGTGCTGTCACCTTCTGCAAGTTTATGACTGTGGGTATTACCCTGTGCTGATTTTCCTACTCCTATCTAATCTCCCACGTCAGCAGTCACCAACTCTCACATCGTTGTGCTTTGACTCCCAGCTGTGTGTGAAAACCAGTTCCCAGCACCACTCAGTGTATGCTGACTGGGCTCAGCCCTGTCCCAGCACAGAGAACACATCTGTGTGTGGATACACGCACCGCGGGAGCAGAGAATTTCCTCATGCATTTTGCCATTCATAAATAATTTGCCAACACTTATATTTTTGTCTCAGAGAATTTTAAAGAGGGAAAGCATACCAGACCAGCAAGCCCAGCTTCTGCTAAGATGAATCTGTTTGTTCCCAAACAGAGGTATTTCATAGAATCATAGAATGAATCACAGAATGGCCTGGGTTGCAAAGGACCACAATGCTCATCCAGTTCCAACTCCCTGCTATGTGCAGGGTCACCAACCACCAGACCAGGCTGCCCAGAGCCACATCCAGCTTGAATGCCTCCAGGGATGGGGCATCCACAGCCTCCCTGGGCAACCTGTTCCAGTGTATCACCACCCTGGGTGTGAAAAATTTCCTCCTCATATCCAACCTAAACCTCCCCTGTCTCAGTTTAAAACCATTCCCCCTTATCCTATCACTATCCACCCTAGTAAACAGATGTACCCTCTCCTGTTTATATGCTCCTTTCCAATATTGGAAGGCCACAATGAGGTCTCCCTGGTATTTACAAGCTGTTTTTTCATTGTTACCAATTATTTTTTGTCCCCCTTAGCTAACAGCCTATGCACAGCAGTGAGCACTGTCCTTTCTAACCCCAGATACATTACATTTTCACTCTGATCCGGGGAACCAGTTGCCCCTTCTGAGTTCAGGGATCCTTTTGAGTCCTCTCGCTTCATCCCATGGCCATTTGGAAGTGCTGCTGGAAGAAAAACACAGACTCCAAATGATGCAGTTTGCACCCACACTCCTCAACATATCACACTGCTGAGGACTGGTGGTAGCTGCATTGAACATAAAAGCAAAAGTAGAATTTTAGAACAGTTAATTTACCTGAATCCTTGTCCACAATCAGGCTGGATCTATTTGAGGGGGATGCAAAATTGCAGATGAATTCATCCCTGGATGCCTGTAAAGCAATATGAGGTTTTTGTGACCAACAGAAGATAATAGCTATTCTTTTATAAAAGAGAATAATGGAATAAAAAAGAAGATTAGAGCAGCTTTTAAAACGCAGGTGAAAATTCCTTACATCCTTAATAAGGAAACAAACGCCCTGGGGTGCAGTACAGAGAACAGCAAGGCAAGTTAAAGGAAGTGATGGCAGCTTGTTCATTTATCATCACTTGATTTGATGTTGTTTTTATTCAGACTTTTTAAAATTTTTTGTTACTGCTTTGCCCTAAACAAACAAGGAAGCCTCATCTGCAAGCCTGAGCCCTGATGGGAGGCAGATGGGAGCTGAGTCCTGTTCTCATTGCACCTGGAGGGACTTACCTCTCTGCACAGCACGATGCGTGCCGTAGAGGAATACAACAGCAAAGAAAACAGCAACGCAGCAAATAGAGAACCATCACAGGAGAAAGGTCAAACAAAATAAACACATTACTGGATGGAAGGAAGAAAAAGAAGCCCACTTGGGCCACTGGGCTGTACTCACAGGGCTGGAGGCAGCCGTGCAGGAGATGAGCACGTCACGGCCGGCCACGCGCTGGATGTTTTCCAGCAGCAGCCCCAGCAGCGGCAGGTAGAGCTGGACGATTTTGGCCTGCTGGTTCTGCAAAAGGGGAGAGGAACAGAGCTAAGAGCTCAGGGTTTCCACAAAGTGAAAAAAGGAAATTCTTCAGCCAAAAATGTGTATATGCCACCAGTGGGTATTACCAGCAACGAGCTCTGGGAAATGAGGGATTTCGGGGGCTGAATGGCATTCCCAGTTGTACAGGAAGCATGACAAACAAACCATAGAATCATAGAACGAATCATAGAATGGCTTAGGTTGGATGGGACCTTAAAGATCATCTAGTTTCAACCCTCCTGGCATGGGTTGGTTGCCACCCACTGAGCCAGGCACCAGCTCAGGATGCCCAGAGCCCCATGCATGGCCTCAGGCACCTCCAGGGATGGAGCACCCACAGCTGTGGGCAGTGCCAGGGCCTCACCATCCTCTGAGTGAAAAATTTCCTCCCGACATCTCAGCTAAATTTTCCTCCTGACATCTCAGCTAAATTTTCCCTCTTTTAGTTTAAAATCATTCCCCTTTGTCCTGTCACTGTCAGACCGTGTAAAAAGTCAGTTCCTCTCTGTTCAGAAACTTCTTTCAGTGCTGGAAGGCTGCAGTGAGGTCTCTGTGGATTCTTCTCCCGGCTGAGCAAGTCCAGATCCTTCAGGATCCTCCCTCTTTCTCCAGAGGAGAGTTGCTCCAGTCCTCTGAGCATCATCAGGCTTCCTCTGGACCCACTCCAAAAGCTCCATGCCTTCCTTGCACTGGGGGCCCCAGTTCTGGACAATCCCGGATTTCCTAACTCTTTAACTGGCACTTCACAGCTCCATTTTGAAGTGCAACACCCCACAGTAATGAAATAAAAACATTTGCTTCTTCAGAGGTGCTGACTATTGCTTCCAGTTGGGAATTCTCCATAGCCAACACTTCTATTTAAAACAGTTTGGAGGAAGGGATTAACTTGAAAACTTGAATTAACTGATACAGATTGTTTATAAAGTTTTGAAATAATCAAGAGAGTCTGTTTGGCTGTTTCTAAATGCAAGGTTCTCTGACATCAGTTCTTTTCTTGTAAAAAAAATGATTATCCTGGAGCTGACAGAAAAAGACATCTAAGGGCTGTGTTGTTTTGATATAAGCACCCAACATTTTCTTCTGATTCTGTATGACAAAAGATATGAGAAACTTTGATAATGCCCATGGGCTCAGCAAACCCTCTCTCAACCATTGATGAGGATGAGATTTCCTTAGCTGGAATGAGACTGCAGCAGCAGCGTCTGCTGCCTGCTATGGGACTGGTTTCCAGGACACCAGCTGAGCATCCTGCCCTGGCTCCATGCAGCCTTCTGGCCATGCTGCCCAGAACAGGACACACACCAGAATACAGCAGGGCAGTTTTAAGACACGTGGCGTTTTTGAGAAGGCAGGGAGCTGCTGCATGCTGATGAAGCAAACAGTTTCTGAATTAGCATGAGAGCTTTCAGGCACCCCAGAAGAGCTGACACAGGCTGCCTCTGACCCAGCTGTGACAGAGAGTTGGCAAACCTCTCCTGTTTCACCAAGTCTGGGCAGCAACCACGTGTTGTGCTTTGTTCCAGGCTGTGCGAGTCACTGGGGATCCACGGTGCAGAGAGAAACAAGACCACCTCCCACTCAGCCCTTCCAGTTATGCTGCTAAAGGTCCAGAGAAGGGAGAGGAGAGGAGCTGGCTCCAGTCCATGCAGAGGGGCAGGAGTCCCTCGTGCATTTTGGTCACGTCCCCACCCTTTGTGTCCAGGATGCTATCCATATTCCAAAGTAAAACCCTGAATGTAGCAAACTAGGAGCAATTTTAAGAGCTAAACTCTTAACAGAGGCATGTTTACAGCCTACATCACGGACATGTAGTGTCTGTGCTGGTAGCTCAGCGCTTTCAAGGACATAGGTTTCAGCAGGGATCAGCATCAAAAAAAAAAAACAAGCCCATCTCCAAGCTCTCAGCAATACCACATGCTGAGCCACTGACCAAAGGAAGCTGAAAACTCCCCAGCGGAAATCCAGCATCTCGTGAGAATCCACAGATCCTCTCTTCTGGCTCACTAATTGGCAAAACATGCAGCTGACTTTAACAGAGATCAGTCCTGCTTCCTAATTATAGTACATTAACGCAGGATATTAATTTAAGTCCAAGTCAAGAAGACCACTGACGTTGCTTAACTTTGAACAGCCTCTTGGCTAGGAACACTTTCAAGTCCTTTAATGGCTCGAGGCTTTATTATGTAAATACTCAGCATGGATAAGAGCTCTGCAGTTATCGCGGGCACATTATTTGTATTCCTAGATCATTTCTCAGAGCTATTCCTGTAATGCCATAACTGTAACTTAAAACGGTTCCCTGAACAGTAATGAGAACACCCTCAGTGCACCGTGCAAAATCTAAAGCTGATGTTTTTCCATAAAATTCAAGACCTTTACGTTTAAAAGCCAAGAAAATGAGCCTGACCTTGTGCTGGTATCTGTTGTCGAAGGCATGCTTTATCAAGAGATTTTTTAAGACTGTGATGGCCGTATATCTGATATCATAGTTGTCCTGCAAGGCAACAGAGGTTTCTCTGAGAAGCATCCCCACCAGGAAATGATGCCTGCAATACTCATCAGTTAAACTGTATTCAAGATTTACATCTGAAAGAAACAGCAAAGCAATGGTTAAGGGAACTGTTCCAAAGGTCTATTCAGACTGAGACAGAACTGTCAAGTAAGCCACAACAGTTCATGGGTACGGTCTCATCATCACTCTTCTTGTGATAAAAGATCACAGTGCAGTGATCTTTTAATGAAGCCTGAATCAATGACAGCTTTCTCAACCACAAAGTAATACGAAAGAATTTGTCATCTCCCAGTTCAGACGAGGCATTAACTCAAGCCCTCAGCACCTCAGCAGCAGCTCAGTGAAGGATTTATGCAGCGCAACGCTTTGCAAATCTCAGTGCTCTGAGGACCAGTTGTAAAGTCAGAGATGGATGACACAGGGAAAGGCAGCACAGCTCCAAGAGCCCCGTGCTATCATCAGGGCAAGAGTGCAGAGCAGAGGCCAACACTGCTGGAGTGAGGGATGCAAACAAGAACGAGGTGCCAAGTGACCTCCAGCAGTTTACACAGCCCCGCTGTAGGACTCAGGAAGCAGGGCAGGGTTCCAAGGAGCTGTGTGCCAGGAGCTGTGAGGCTCCGTTAGCGCTCTGCCAGCAGACACCAAGCACAGCTCCATGGAGGAGGGCAGCTCAGTACCTAACCATCCTGGTGAACTGACTTGCACTCTGCATCTCACACAGATTCGGGCTCTACCTATGCTGTGATCAAAGGGATGGCTGCAATGTGGGTACATCATTGTCACTGACTTGCCCAGATAATGCAGCGGAAAAGCGACAGAGACACAGATTTCAGTGCGGTTTGCATGTGAACTCAGGCTGCTACAGATGACCTTGCCCTGACACCCACCATTATCTCTTTCAGGCAGCCCATATGTCTAATCAGAGCCTCAGCAGGCACTGTTTGACTGTTGCATTACAGCTCTGAGCCTCCCAGAGGGATAACCTCAAAGCTGTGCGCTCCTCCCCCAGATGGTTCAAACCCCGGGTGCTCAGCTCTGATATGTTTTTGAAAAGCCCACAGGTGTGAAAGCTTTTCTGTGGTGCACACACACAGCTTTGGAAGTCCCAGCCAAAGGGCTCCAACAGCACTGTTTCATGCAAAAAATACTTTCAGATTGTTGGCTGATTCATAAGTTGCCCTTACCAGCTTGTGAAAATCTGATTCAGAGGAAAGAGAAAGCAATCTGGAGTATTATCTAGCTTTCACTGTTAGTCATGTTAGCAAATGCCCAAGTGTCACATCATGGTTACTTCATTAGTTGGATACAAGCTAATTGACTGGAGACTGAATGTTTTATCTAATTTGACATTAGAGGACTCAGTCATCCAAGTTGGACCCCTGTACTGCTCCACAGCACATGCAAATATCTAACTTGCATGTAAAAGGAAAAGGAACAAATATAAAGACAGCAAAAGCAAGCAGGAGTAAGTAAAATTTCTCCAGGCTTGGAGAAATTGGACAGTGTGTCATGTTTTAATGTTTTCCACTAGGCACTTGCTTAACTTGCAACTCCTGGCAATCTCGTGGGTTCTTTGCTCGAGCACAAACACCTGAGGATATTTTAAAAACAAAACCTCAACTGGCAGGTCCTAGTCACAGTAACACAGAGGAGGAAAGATGAGCTGCTCCTACAGCTTTTCAGTTTCACCACTGCAAACACAAAGGTGAATGTTAACCAAGGAAGAGCACTCTTGTGTTAACACGCTGCTAACAAGCAGAGGAGAGGCACCATAGTTGTGTGCTTTTCTCTATCTCAGCCATTTCTAGCAGTGCACTTTGTTAAACTATGCCAGTCAAGTAGCCAAAGTGATGTAAGAAGTCAGCAGCTGGCCCAGAGGAAGCTCAGAGCAATGTCTCAGAGAGACATACCAGAGTAAAGGAAAACTGAGAGTTATTGCTGCTTCTGTTACCTGGAAGCAAAGATAACCCCTCTACGGTTTGCATGGCTGCACTTGGGGGCACACCCAGACATTCCCTCACCTCCACCAAAATAAATCCACAGAGCTTTCACGTGGGGAATTCCAAACCTCACTTTCCTCTGTGGTACTTGGCCAGGCTACTTGCACCCAGAGCTGGCAATCTGTACTGTATTTATCAAGCACAGGTGAGAAACTATGACCCAGAGAGCATAAAGTTCTGTCTGTAGAAACCTCAGGAGACTGTTGAGGTGTGCCCTGCACTCAACACAGTGGTTGCATGGCTGCAGCCATCCAGATTTGCACGACACCTCAGTTTAGGCACTTGCAAACCTTGTTTGCCATGCAGAGAACAACACCAGGAGAGGAGGTGTGGTGTGACAGTGAGAACAGGCTGGGTGTGCATGATGCCACTGTATAAGCACGGTATGCATTGAGGACTGGCACAGACTCAAGACTTTTGCTGGCTGTGTTCAGCCCAGGCTTGAGCACAGCCCTAAACTTGTTCAAACTGAAAGCAGAAAGCCACAGAGAGAGCGGACAGCAGAGCAGTGAATGCAGTCTGTTCTCCTGTACCGCCGTTTGCTGTGACTCTGGCTGATGGGACACCCTTCTGATGCTGACAGTACGAAGGATTAGACTTGCACAATCAGCACTTACTGAAATAGGGGCAATTTCTTTTGGATATTGTTAATCCTTTGCAAACTTAAATGTAGGAAATACTGTACGGACTGATTGCTGACCATTCTGGAGCTGACTAAGGTAACACTGCCAGACCAACATCTTATCTTGAGGTTAACATCAGACAGACTAAACTGGGCATACTTTCCTTGACACTAAAGAGAGTTATGTCTGCTCTGAAGCCATCGAGAAAGACAAACCATAGCTTTCTAGCCCAGTCCCTTGAGAAAAGACATACCTTGAGCTCTCTGCAGCTTGGGTTTGGAAAAGGTCATCGGTAAGTTCAAAGGAATGTAGTGCTCATGATTGCAAATGGTTTGAAGAAATTCAAACTTGTATTCAACCAGCAGCTGAGAAAACAAATAAAACCGAACAAACACAAAATATGTTTTCAGCTTGGCTTATTTGCTTCTAGTTGTGTTTCTTGCACAAAGACTGGGGAATCTAAACAGCATTCAGTGCATCTCTGTAACTAATGGCAAAAATTTCATGGTATGAAATTATCAATACAGAGCTTTGATTGGTGCAGACACATACAAACTTCCAAGAAATGTACTGCTTACCTTAGGGTCTTTAGGGCTGAATCCAGAAATGTAATCATTGATCAGGTTAAAAATAAACCCTCTGTCCATAAAGGTCAAACAGCGCTGCAGAAGACATAGTGGAACGTCACCAATCATTAAAAGAGAAAGCAATCCCCCTAAATCATCTCCATGCCACCACCCCACCAGCAGCCAGATTTGATCTTCCAGACTGCTGCTGACTTTCCAAAATTCGCTTGCTCCCATTTTTCCAACATTATTTAGACGACCTCTCTTAAATCTCCAGCAGACAACAGAAATGTGTAAAATGAGAACATGTGTATTTCATCTCAGGTTTTGAACAGTTGCTGGGCAGGACTGAAAAGCCTAGATAGCATGTAGAGTGCCACAGTCTATCAGAAAGATAAAGAGTCTTTCCTAGGAAAGAAGGAAACTCCCTGAAGTTTTTATCACCAAAGAGACGTAAGGGATGAGATGGTACAGACACATATGTTTGTTTGCTACTTATTTCTATATAGATATAATTCTGATTAAAGCCTGGGAGAATGAAAGAAACTGCTGACCTTCAGGAAGTTGGCCAAGCTAAAATTGGCATTTCGGGATTCTTCAGGGATTTCATTGTAGCGTATGGTCACATGAGGGATGATGGCAAGCAACAGTGAGTGAAGGGCGTGCTGGTAGGAGGCTGGGAACCGCTGGGCCCTGGGCAGCTGAAAGCAAAAGTGTTGGGTGAAAAAATTCACAGGAGAGTTTGTTTGCGGTGGTTCTGTAACGCAGCATTGAACAGATTCGTTTTTACCTTGATTTTGTTTTCCTCCAGTAAGTATATTGCCATGGACTTCGCCAGTGCTTCAAAGAAAAACCACGAGTACTGGAACAAACAAAAAATACTATTACTTTTCTCAACAGGAACGAACACGCTGTGAGGGGAAAAAGCAGTGTGGGAGGGAGAGTTTGCATTCAGATGGCGTTTTGAAAGCATGGCTGTGCTCAGCAGCCAGCTCAGCGTGGGAAGGCACCTGGAAGCACACTTTGCTGTCTGGGGTAGGAACAGCTCCAACCCCTTGCACCCCACAGCACCCTGCAAGGAGCCAGCAGAGTCGGGGGGGCCAGCCATGCCCAGAGGAGCAGCAGCTCAGTTTTCCTCCCCTATCTGGCTTGAAGAAAAGAGGTAAAATTGGCAAAATGGAAAGCCCTTGCTTATGGCTGGCCGTGAGGCTTAACACAGTGGGCTCCCTGCAAGAATTTGTCTTTGTTGTAAGGGGAGAACTTCATGATACAAGGAGCACAGGAGCACAAATACAAGGAGCTGTCCTGGTAGCTGTGCTCCTGTGGTGGGGTTGGATGGGTAGAAATACTGGGCTTTGTATCAGATCCCCTTTTCTTCCCTTCCACCTCAAGCAACAAAGCACTGCCTGTACTTCACCTTGAGCAGTTTATTGATGGCGAGAAAATCTGCTGATTGCTTCAAGATGGTGGCCATGGAAAGGACCAGGATTTCATGGGTCATCTTTGCCTGTGTCACACTGGGTTTCTCAGCTCGGAAGACGTACTGGGAGGCAAGAAGGACAGTATCAGCAGTGTGCCTGCTCCAGCACGGAGCTGCATGGAGCAGCGAGCCATGACTGACCTTTATGAAGGAGCGCAAGTAGTGGTCTAAGCCTTCCTCGTGGCACTTGGACACGATGTGCAGAAGGACCCTGGGGAGAAATGTGTTCAGCACACAACGTGAGGGCAAGTTCCTCCCACACGCAAAAGTAGACATTGTGTGTGCCCTATCCAGCTCAACCCAAAAGCCTCATCATTGGTTTTTCAGCCAGTATTTGCAGACCAAGGTCCCTCACAGCTCCTGTGGCTGCACCATTCTTGCTCAGCCTCCCCACTGAGCACTCAGTGCTGAGCATCCAAAGCCTCTTCTCTTGGTGTCGCCCAGCCCCGCTGCCTGCAGTGCTCAGTGCTCCTTGCACAAGGAGGTGGAGGACTCCCTGCAGGGGACACATCCTACTCTTTATGCATGCCAGCATAAAAGCCTGCAGCTACTTACACCCATATTGCAGTGAGCACTGGGCACCTGAACAACACTCAGGGATTAGGTAAGTCAAAAACAAAAATATGCAGTTCATCTGCTCTCAGCCAGTTCTCTTTGGCTGGTGTTGCCTAACAGTAGATGCATCTTCAGAGCAGCTACATGGAGAACAAACTCATTTTTGCCTAGTGCACATGCTGCAGATTCATCCACACTCTATACTTCATGGCATATGGAGTTTTTCCTCATCATGAGCCCTGTCCTAATAATGGTATGAGTGACTATTTCAGCTGCAGCACTACATCAAATAAATAATAATTTAAAAAACTATGCAAATAAACAAAACAAACAAAAAAATCAAATAACTCAAAATCTGCTCAGAGAAGTGGGGAAAAATGCTCTATGGTTGTTATACTCTGAACCCCCAAACCCTATACTCTTCCTGAACCCCCAGATTTACTAATTCTGAAAGCTCTTGTTTACTGAACTAGGATATGTATCCTCTCTTGCTCGCAGTTACACACTTTGGATTATTTTCAAGCTGTAGTCTGGCAGTTCACTGGGGACACACAGCCCCTGGAGAACATGCCAGCCTTCTGAAGCACTCCAGGCAGCTGATGAAGGCAGCCTGGTTTCCCAAGCCAATATCAGAGATTTACATTCCAGTCCAGGTCACAGAGAACAACAAACTGTTGCACACTGTCACAGACCCCACGAGCCAAACCACAGAATTTACAAGCAGTTTATCAGATACGGTGGCTTTTCAAATTCCACTCTGAAATCCTGGATAGGGAAACAGTTGTCGTTAATGGAGAGCTACTGACAAACTGGAAAGGATCAAGCCAAGCTTTGAAAAAATGAGTGAAGGGACACAAGGGAACTGATCAGCCAGGAGTCCTCCTCTGTCCTTAGCAGAGTGGGAGTGTGTTCCTCACAGGAGGAGTCCCCGCAGCCCATGTCACAGGACTGTGCCTACAATGGGTCCTTCATCCTTGGGGACCCAGGGCTCAGTCTCTGACCTTTAGTTTCACTGGAGGGAAATGCTTTTGGCTGCACGTGACCTGGAGTTGAAGCAAGACCTCCATGGGGTGGTATGCAGCATCCCCCTCTGCACTGCCGTACGGTGGAAGTGTATGTGTTTAATGCACCCATCAGTTTACCTGCACGGGGATCTCAGGTAGGACAGAAAAGGGCTCTGGCAGCTCGAGCTCCACTGGGAGCAGCAGCAGGGCACAAGGCAGCACTGCCCTCTGGGGGCTGAAGGCACTGCCGAGCAGCGCTGCACAACAGCAGCAAACCCCACTGGCCTGAAACTTCTGCAATGAAGCCTCTGAGCCACACATAAATCAATCAGTTCGTCCAATCCCTGCTCCCGGGTTTGTCCCCTCACCTCCTCGCTGTCCCCACCACTCCTTCTCAGCAGTTATCTTTAAGTTCACACATTTCCTTCAGGCAGCTCCCAGACCCCACGCTGCCCTGTGCCACCTGGATGTGCCATCCGAGTGCTTTATGCACAACCACACCAACAGGCAGCAGTGGACAGCCAGCACTGCCACTTAGCACCCTGTACTGGGAAACCACCTTGCCTTGCACTGTAATTTGTGGCTTTGCATTTGCAACCAAAGACAGATGGTTTACCAGATACTCACATGGTGCAGTTGACAGCTACTTCATCTTCCTGGGTCACATTTGTAAGGACTCTAAATAGTTGCATAAGAATTACAGGTAGAAACTGAATCATTACTTGGATCTCCATGGCGTGCAAACACTAAAACAAATGTTCAAAACACAGACACTTTTAGTTCAACAATTTGCAGATGTCAAATATTTATAGTCCACAGACATTTCTGGGGCAATACAACAGGCATTAGAAAATGCTTTGGGGTGTGGATGTCAGACTGCCAGAGGACAGGGGGACTTGGACTCCAAGCAGTGCTCACTGCCTGCTTCCAATTGATGGATCCCAGCTGCATGCCCTCAGGGAGCAGCGTGAATCACTCCTGGCAGGTATTAATCTTGCTCTCAGATGTGCCAAAGCAGCTGTGACTTAATTAGAGGTCACATGCTACAAGCTGACCCCAATAACCCAGAACTTAAGGCTGATGTTTTGCTGCCAACTCTTCGTGCCGTTTGATGGGATGAAGTCCCATTTTCCCAAATGCCTTTGCAAAGATCTGATGCCCAATAGCTTGCAGTGAGACTTTTCTCTAGAGGTCATAGCTTACTATGGGAAGTGGGATTTAAGATCTGGTGAAGGTCAGGATCATCTGGTGCATGCAACATTCACCCGTCACATAGACCTCTTTTTCCTGAGTATCATGATGTGAGTCCAGAAAAGATGTTGTGTTTCATTTTCAGTTTTTAAATTGCGAATCTAAATCTTAAATCTGTACATAAATATTTAGATTACTGAAATTACTGATGTCACAGAAGTAAGAAGCTCCCACTTGTGGTCAGTATGAAAATGTCTCCCTGTCTGCAGACTGCAGTGAGGTCAAAGCAACTGCTTTTCTAGTACTTGGCTCCCAAACCTGCCATATTTTTGCTTAGGGTATTTGTACACTATGTGAAACACACCCAGTAACTCTGTGATGATAAATCCCCACCACTGGAAGTGGAGCTGTTGCTACAACAGCAATCTCAAACACAGGCAGCTTGGAAGGAAGCAAGGATGCTGAAGAGCCAAGGAACACAACCCCTTCAGAAGCCTTGCTGGGCCTCTCCAGTGCCCTTACTCATGCTGCAGTGAGTGCTGAAAAGCTGAGTCTGGGGTCACAGCCCATCTATGGTGAAAATTCACCAAGCTACAATCTCACTGATCTTTTTCTGCCTGAAAAAAATCCTGATTTGAATGGATTTATTCCTGAAAGAGAGGAATCGTGCTACAGCATTAGAAGTTTCAATTGGATGTAGGGCAGCAGGGGGGGAGCATACAGGTTTGCTGGGAGGAGGCTGTGCCATGAGCACAGCTGGGTGATGCTGACTTGTTTCATCTCCTGGGAAAGGTAGCAGGAAGCAGCACACAGACAGCAGAAGGTCATGTCAGTAAGAAAAGGTAAGGATCTTGCACAACCGATCCCAGCACTGCCCAAGTGTGTGTTCCTGCAGAATAGGGCTCCAGGCATTTACTGATGATGCAGAAAAACATAAAGCTCACTGACAGGCACTGTTCACCTTCAGGTATTTAACAAGCTCTCCAGGGACTTCCTTCACACCTGCCTGAACCAGCTGGCAGTACTGGAAGAATTTGTGCAAGTGCATGTCCTGGAAGAGATGAAAAGCAAGTTCAGTGCAGTAGCTTCAGTCTTTGTCAGTCCCTGCTTTCTAGCTTACACCTGAAACTCCAGACCCACAACAGCAAGCTAGGATCACGTCCATAGCAAGCTCCCTGTCATTATCACTGGTACTTTTTGTTCCCCAGCTGCCACTCCCATCAGGACTACAGCACTGCTTCAACTCTTAATGATTGCCATTGCTTCCCCATTCTTCTCCCTCCTCCTCCCAGGCTAAAGTTAATTACTTAATCCCAAAAAGGATCTGGGAATGTATTTTGAAGAGAAGTGAAGATAACGTGCTGTAAAAATCAGCAAGACTGTAAAACTCAGCAAGACTGTAAAACAGGTTTAGATTATGCTGACAACAAGTTGCAGTGAATGTAAATGCAGCTGATCACATCCAGCACAGGACAACAAGCCCTGCTAAGGGCATTTCCCTATGGGCAGTGCAGACAGGCAGTGCCCTGGAGCATCTGCTAGGAATCTTTGCTGCACATCACATGAAGCTTAGGGAAGTCCATCACCACTGAAAGTCAGCAGAACACTTAAGGAGTAGGTTAAACAGCCTAAACTGGTTTCAAAGGGAAATGAGGAATCCGGTTTTCTTGTGAAAAGTGTCTGCTATAGTCAGAAAACTTCTTTTTCATATGGCAATGAACAGTCTAATGTTTGGGGGAAATCTTCCATCTCCACCAGTTACTTTCCTTTCCATGGCAGTGAAGCAGTTCATTTATTCAAATGTTTCCCTTGTCCTACCAGTTACAGAGCCACTGGCCAAGATAACACCAGCACCTCCCAGTGCTCATTCACTCACACAGCTGTCTCATCACACCCAGGCAAAGCAGAAAACCCCAGCAATGAATCCCAGACCTGCTGCTAGGGAAGTATCACAGCACTGCTCTGCAAACAGCAGAGAAGCAGCAGAGATACAGCAAATCCTTCCTCTGCTTTCGTGTTAAAAGTCTACACAGGTAACATGCTCAACCTACCTGGGTGTAAATGGTTGAGTCCAAGTGGATTCTGACTTTAAAGAGTGGCTTTGCTCCATCCACCCACTTTGCATCCACGCTGGACTGCTGTGAACAGACAACATTCATGCGCTTGGCTTCAGACTGTGGGAAGAAGGTGGTTGTGTGCAGGCAGACAAGGGGTCAGAAGGTAAGTTTGAGGTGGAGCAATGGGGACCCCCAGTGACACGACTCAGCCATGGGCAGAGTTGACCACATGAGAACATGCTCACAAAACACTCTCCTGCTGTGCACCACGTGCAACAGCCCAGTCCAACCTATCACAAACTGCACCAGCTGGGAGGGCTACACTTGTGTGACGATCTTTCCAGCCACGCACAAGCAGAAACCCAGAACCTGCGGGGGCAGCAAAAGCTCAGCTTTCTTTTTCCCTTAATGTTTAAGCCCATTTTTAATGTCTTCCGTACCCTTCGTGACTCTGTGTCCCCAAGACCCAGGTAGCCAGGTGGAAGGTTGGATGAAACAGGCAAATGCCGTTCCAGGGTGACAATCCGTCCATCCTTCAGCAACGGGACCCAAGCGTATCCCACTGCAGAGGCAACCAATGGACAAAGTTAGCAGACACACAGTTACTTCAAGCTCCAAAAAGAAATGTATCTCACCCTACAAAAATCCAACTCACAGTTGTGCAAGTGGCTCCTACCAGACAGGGATCAATCATGTCAGCCTTGCTAAAACATATTTTACCTGCTGACTCAGTGAACAAAATTCAGCACAACGGAGATCAGGAATGGGTTTGAGGAGCAGAAATGATGTGCAAGCCTTGAGCAAAGTGGCAAAGGTCCTTTAGTTGCCCAAAGACCAGTTGGAAGGAGAAGCATCCCAACCAGAGGGACTTCAGTCTTTGACACATGCCCAGAGTTGGCAGGAGTGGCCCCTGAGGCCCTGATCTTGTGCCAAGTGCTTGATAGTGACTTGACTGACAATTTCCCCATTCATACATGAATGTTGGGTATCAGCAGCAAAATTTGAGCTTTCCTATACACAGCTTAAACCCACAGTTTCTCTTAGGATGCTCCCATAAAAGAAAACATAGATAGAAAATTGTTGTAGTCAAATATTATGCTCCAGCAGAAGTAATGTAAGGGGTGAACATACCTTGAGTTTCAATGGTGTCCTGTTTTTTCGATGTTGCCTTTGTATTAATTTCACAGCTGACATGATAGAAGGTGAAAAGCAAATGATGCTTTTGATGGAGGTGAATTGGAAGCTCAATTTTAATCTAAAATGATATCATGATAGGTAAGGCTGTGTTTTTAATCACGGAACAATACTTTATGTTCTATTTCATTTCACAAATGTTACATTTTATGCAGTTACACAAGACAGACTCCTGCCATCTTAAATAACTCCCAACTACCATTTTCAGCACATTTGCACATTACTTATTAATGGTGATGTGTGACTGGAGTGCACAAAGCGTGACAGTAAAAACAGCACAGAACAAACTGGCATTAAAAATTGATAAAATCTCTGGCTCTGCTGGGTTCTTCTACTGAGGTGCAAAGAGATGATGTTTGTTTTTTAACCTGTATTTCCCCCAGCCCTGGAAAAAGGCATATCCTGAAAAGCTGCTTGGCTTTGTAGCACCCAGGAAAGTTTATTTCCCACCATTTTGCTTTACCTCATCATAGAACTCTGGGCTCTGGTTGTGATGCAGCACAGCTGCATACGCGTTGGATGTCAGGAGCTGGCCTCCAGGTTTGCCATAGATACACTGGAAATACAAATGAGAAGCTTGATTCAGGGTTGCTGTCACCCTAAATTAGATGACCGAATGGAAACAGTGAGCATGGAAAATGTTTTCCTACTGTTCTGCTCAGCCTGGCTGGCATATGGTACAAAGCTGCAAACAAACGTCAGCCCCAGGTCACTAGAAATAAAAGGTACCCACCTTTAATGGCCTGGCATCAGCTTCATCTGAATCCCTGAACTCAATGCAGACAGCAATGTTCCTCGCCTGAATTAGAAGAAAAGAGGAGGATGAGCCACATCCACAGGTCAGCAGCATCACTGCAGAGCCCACCAAGTCACTCACCTTTGCAAACACCTTCTGGTTCTCATACTTCAGATGCAAGGGATACACATACAGGTGGTTTTTGTAGACAGTGAAGGGATAACAGTATTTTGCAACTTCTGGGACAAGCTCCTCCACTTCAACTGCAATGTTCTCACAGCTCTTCTCAAAAGGCTTTATAGGAATATAAGAAGCTGTCACACAATCTGAAAGAGAAGGAAAGGATGAGCACGTGGTGCACAAACATGGGTAGCACAGCTCATGTGTCATGAAATTTGCAGGTCTGAAACTGCCATTGCTCCCCAGAACTCAGTTCTCTCCATACCGGAGGGCCACACAAGTGAGCAGGCAGCAAGGTATGGCTCACTCCATAAAAATAATGTGGGGGGAAATTCTCCTCTCAATCATGTAACATCTGTTGCTGCACTAGCAACACTGAGAAAAGATGGGTGCCAGCAACCACAGGGCTCTGCTCTTCTTGCCAGAGGGGATTGCAGAAGTGTCACTTTGCTGAAGCTCTGGGGAAAGTCAAAGGGCCTTTTGGACTTCCCATGTCTGGGCAGGGATGGCTGCCCTGCTCAGTACCTCCATCTTAAGACTCCAGGAATCTGACCTGTTACTGCTTTATAAAACATGCAAACACCACATGACCAAAGAAGATGGACTTCTGAAATAACAGCTTGAGACTGACTTCTCAAAGTGCACAAGTCCCACAGTGTCAGAACTTTTCCACCCTCTGCTTCCATCAAGAGAGTTTTTAACTCAAGTCATGGTGTTGGAGGAAAGGGAGAAGAAAGGAACCCTGCTAAAAAGTCTTTTAGACAGGGAAGCGGATGACAGAATCATGACAGGATATGGGATGATCCTGTGATGTGACACTGAACACACCACAAGTGTGGAGAATTAAACTGAACACAATGTTATGGATCAAAAATGTTATCTGAGCTCAATGTAATAATGGCAAAAGCAGACAGGTGGCTTCCTTTAGATTTAGGATATGACAGCCATGCAGAATGTGACACCCTCAAGTCACACCTCTGCACTTAGACCACATCTCTCCACAGAATCCATCAGAAAAACAAGTCAGTGGTTGTGTTGAATTACTGATTTCTTATTTCAACCCCAATATATTCTTGCTAATGAAACAGAAAAGCTCCACAAACACGCACTAACTCCCAAGGCTAGCACCATCAGCATTTATTTTCAGATCCAAGTTACTTACTTGTGAAGTCCAGTGGGATGTCCTTGATGACAATATTTAACTGGGCTGGAATGATCTGCAGCTTTGTCTTCTCTGGTCTGCATTAGGAAGAAAGGAGCGAGGTGGTGAATTTGGAAAATTCAAGTGCTGAGCCCATCAGCAGGGCTTTTAGTTACCTCCTGACTATTTCAGAAATTGCTATCTCATGCTTACACCCAGTGCTTAAAAATGTATGTTAGAAGGCCTCTGCACCAGGCTTACTTCTTATACTCTGCTAATAGCTTCAACATGTCTTCGTTTGAGAGTTTGCCACTGTCTTGCTTGTACAAGGGCGAGAATTTTCCTTCAGCATCAAGAGTGCCCTGGGAGTCTTTGAACACCGGTCTGCAGAAAAGAAAAGACACGTTCCCTAAATGATGGTAAAGATGCAGGCATAGGAAAATCAAGCTTCAGAATACACATGGCAAGCTGCACACCACCAAATCCCAGGCCACTATGACAGTCATTTGGTATTCCCATGTCATTACTGTTCCTTGTGTCAGCACCAAATGGCAATTTAGCAACAGGAGGCAGTGGCAGAGAACTGAACTTGCCTGTAGGGCATTCTTTTGACATGAGTTTTAAGGGAGTTAACACTGAAATAACAGCAATGAAATACAGTCACTATCTCCAGTTGTTCCCAAGAACATTAGTTAAAGCAGAGCCAGAGACAGAGGTGTAACTCTGCTGATTGCCTCTGCTTTTGTCCCCTCCCTGGTAATGCATGGTGCCAGGGGGTAATTTCTGCACCAGTTCTCACACAGGACAGGGTGACCCACCCACAGGGATGTTCTGCCTCAAAATCAGTAGCTGCAGGTCAGCAGGAAGGTTACAGTCTTCCCAGCACTGTTTACTATTTAATATTTTGTTTCTAATTCTAGAGAGAGTATTTCAGGCCAATCCACGTTCTGCCTGAGAAGTCAGGGCCAGATCCTGCCCTCTGTTGCTTCCACGCAGCCTCACTGACTTCAGCAGCTTGGCCCTCAGCCCATTCAGCCACATCAGCCTGATGCTGTCCCAGATCACTGACAGCAGCAGCTCCCAACCCAGAAAAAGCACGGTCCAAGGCCACTAACCTGGCAGCCCAGCCAAAGGGCATCCGGTACTGCCCCAGACGGCTGCACACCTGCTTCGCCACCTTGTGGACCTTCTGGGCTGTCTGAAAAACACAAGAGAGAAGGTGAGCATGTGCCACTGCTTCCATGCTGCACTGGGAAAAGAAAAGAGAGGGCTGCACTCTCCAGGGAGGAGATGCTCTGTATTTCACAATGCACAGTGCTGCATACACACAGCATAGCATGGCCTGAGGAGCTGATAGAAAATCCCTGTCACTTCACACCATGCACATTTATTACAGCACAGGCAGCAGAATGTATGGAGAGCAGACTTTGCCAGAAAGCAGCTAAAGAGCAGCAGGAGCATCCCACATTACAGACCACACTACTGCTCACAGCAGCATGCAGTATCAGCAAGCAGACCCCCCCACAGCCCCACCTCACCTTCCCCGGGTCTGAGTTTTTCATGTATGGTTCTGCACAGTGTGTAATGCTGCCCTGCAGCACCTTTTCCACACGGGCCACCAGGAAGATCTCCGCATGCGGGTCGGTCACAGAGAAAACACCCTACAACAGACAAGACAGGGGACTGTCAGCAAGTGGGATACCCTACTTGTAGCACTGATTGTCCTCTCCCAGAGAGGACACAGACCTTACTCTGGCAGCTACCATGGATGGGCCATGGGAGCTATCAAGGCTTGAGAATGGTCAGCTCCTAAAGAATTCTAGCTAGGGTGCCTGTGAGCCCACAGTAGCAATCAGGCTGAGACTGACCGACAAATGAAGCTACTCAACAGCCACAGCCTTACAGAGACACAGAATGAGAGGACAAAGTCAGTTCTTCACCCGTTTTATGTAGCGCAGGCAGGACTCAGGGATCCCATGCACGAGGCTCTCGCCTGGCGAACGCCCCTTCACATCCTCCACCTTGGAAGCCGATGTATCCAGCAGCATGTCACGGACAGACGGAGGGTTCAGGTCCACGTGGAAGTCTGCAGAAATCTTGCAGTTATTTTTCAGGTCAAACAATGCCAAGCTGAGGAAAAAGGGCTCAACCTGCAAATGGAATCCATGTGTCAAAAAGTGCATGGTACCAACTCAAGGTTATTCACATGCATTGCCTTCCCCACCAGCCAGGCCTCCTGTATCTGTTTGTTCCATTAGTTTTGTCTATCAGAATTTTCCTGGATTCTTACAATTCATGCTTATTTGCTTTATAAATTCATAAGTTCACTTTTCCCCATTCATTATCTTCTGTTTTGATCTAATCAATTTTAAAAAAGGCTTTCATTAAAAAAAGGGAGGGAGTTTTCTATAAATGATAAACTACAAGTTTGGAGAAAAAAATGATCCAAATTACTCAGTTAGAGCTGTTTAACCCGGGTAATGGGATAGAAAGCAGCTTAAGAATGTTAATGTTCACTTGCTGAAGAATACCTCTTATTGCCTGAAGCCCATCAGCTCTGGGTGGCCCATCTGTAGATACAGAACATTCCCTTGCTGCTACACACAGGGGGCACAGAAGCAAAGTAGGTGCAAACCACCTCCCAGCCAGGAGAGCTAGCACAAGGCTGGGAATTCTATGTGCAAAATCTGCATGTGGGGAGCTGCTCTACAGCTGAAAGCTGTCTTGCACCAAGCTCAGCTTGTTTTGTAGCTATTGACCTTGACAGCACAATGCAAGTGGCAACAATATCATGTGTTTTTAGTTCAATGATCACAGAAGGTGTTGTCCACATAAAGATAAAAGTGAAGGCTGGAAGAGAGGCTGTAGCACATCCGAGATGTTACAGCATAAGTTGGAGGCCTCAGTACTAAAATTACCTCAGTACTAAAAACATGCTGATTAAGTCCAGCACTGGGCTGATAATATCAATCAAATAATATCAATCTGTTATCAGTGATGCATTCATCTGCTGGAAGGGACTGAAGAACAAGTTTGGCGTGCTGGTTGATCCCACCAGGACTGTGATACCATCAGCACAGACTGGTCAGCTCATGCTGCTGCCTCCCAGCCCTGCAATGCTATCTGCTGCTCTGGGCACCCCTGGGTCAAGGACAGACTCCGATGCAGGACATGGTAACAGGGAGAATGTCTTGGGAGAAAACACTGGGAGAGAGTCGTTTGTTCAAGTCTGGCAGACCAAAGCCAGAGGAGAGATGTAATTGCTAGCTACAATTTTCTGAGTTGCTGGCTAAGATACAAGGAAAAGCTTTTTAGGCTAAGGCACAGCTTTGGCACAATAACAAATGCATATAATAAAGTGAGTGTGAATACTGTTGGTCTGGGAGACAGGAGATTTCAGAACAGGGAAATCCCTTGCCATTAGAGGAAATGAAATAAAACACAGCGATGGGTGCCTTGGAGATGGAGCTTAATCATTTACCAACAGGACTTTCATAGGGATCCAGAATATTGCAAACACACTCCCTGTTCCCTGTGCACCTGAACCTCTGGCTTCCTAGTATTCCCAGTTCCTGGCAGGCCAAGGTATATTAGGGCAACTCCATCCCAAGACATATTCTGGAACACCAGAATACCCAGGCAGGCAAACCCTGCAAAGACCCTGGGCCAGCAGACAGCACCTGCCCAGGCCCCACCATAACTCATGGCAGAATGGGACTCCTTTATCCATCCAGATCAACCTGCCATAGGTTTTTGTTGCCAGTAGACAAAGCAGGAAATGCCAGAGCTCTCCTTACGTTGGTGGGTCCTCCCTCTGACTGGTCGCTGAGCTGAGCGAGGAGGTTGAGGGACAAATCTTGGCAGCAGACCACAAAGCGCCTGCTGCTCTTCTCCTCGAATGGCTTCACGTCCGGCTCCATCCCCGAGAAGTCGAGCCTCTAGACAGCAAACAAACAAATCTGGTCTCATTAAAAAAGAAAACATACCCCCCAAAAAATGTTAAGGGGTCACATTACAGCCAGTACGACCTTGACCATTTTTAAGTGGTGCAAAAAGGACAAGATGTCCACAGATGAGTGCCATTTTGTGATGTTACACAAATGTGTTCAAGACATGAATTCATGGGGATGTATCAATTTTTAGCTATCTGGTTTGTAGAGCACAGAAAACTAAACCTCAGAATGATTTCAGTTCCTTCCTGCTTTGCTGTAACCCTGGGGATCTTCCCAAAACACCATTTAGAGCTTGGGGAAGAAAGTGGAGTATAAGCTGTCATTACTCTCGGAAAAGTATCTTCCACTTTGAAGATTTGACTAGTTTAAGACATGGTCCCTGTGCCTGAAATAGAGAGAAGGCACGTGCTTTTGGGATCATGAACATCTTGAGCTGAAGGCATTTCTAGATGCAGGGCAGTAAGTGGTATGGTTAGCAACAACAAGGGCTGCCCGCAGAGCTGGTTGGGAAATCCAAACAGCTTTGGTTATCATCACATCCTTCCTAACCCAGCACACACATGGCCGGTTATTTCCTCAGTGCCTACCCTTCTCAGAGAGCAGGCGCATATGTGACCAAAATACCATCAGCCACGGAAAGACTCATAACCTTCACCACTCCCACTGTCCTGGGCACCAGGGCCACAGTTACCAACCCCCCCTAAACATCAGCACATCTCTCAGTGACGATCTGGCATGGTTCTATTTGCTTTTTCTCCCTCAAATTCTGCAGAACCTGCTTGCAAAAGTTGAGATCTCACAATCAAGTAATTTGTGCAAAACAGGGTGCAACTGTTCATCTGATTCTGAGAAACTCTTCCGACTGCTTTCTCCATTTCCATTCTATGAGGAAAATGCACTGCAGGTGCACGTTCCTTCTCCCAGTTTCCTTAGCAGCAGGCACACAAGCACGTACACATTGCACTGACTGGGGAGGTGATTTTGGATGTCCAGTCTAAGAGCAGATCTGACTGACCCACACCACGATGTGGAGCTCTGTGTGCTTAGGGAGGGCAGAAAATCTAGCCAAAATTAAAAAAAAAAAAAAGTTCTGTGTGCTGCATTAAATGATATTTTCATTTTTATTATTTGATTAAGTCATAGGAAACTTCTTCAAGCTTCTCTAGAAAAACAAACAAACAAACAAACAGAAAAACCCACACCAAAATCTCTCCTGGATGCCTCAGGACTATCTGTCAAATACTTTAAAGAGGTGCCAGGAAAAAAGCTCATTTAGTACCATTAAACTTTTTAAAGCCTAATTACACTTCCTTGTTAAACCAGGATGTTTTTCTTCACAGGTGTGAACAAGTAAAAAAAAAAACGTTCCAGAAAGGGAACCAGAAACTAAGAGAGGACTTGGAACAATTCTCTGCAATTGTGTTAACAATTGCAGCTCATTCCACTGAAATCCCACAGCTGGGTCTTGGCAGAGAGCTGAGCAGAGAGGTTAAAGCTGAGCAGAAAACAAACCAAATAGTGTCCAATCCCCTACTTTGGGCATTAGAACAGTGTGTGGAGTTTCTTCTGCTTGTACCTCCCCACATGTGAAAACTCTGCAGTTCACCTCTAGCGTTACTGTTCGTTCCTCCAGATGTGCTGAGGCCATGCAGCACTGCAGCTCTCTTTGCAATCCCACTTCTGCTGCTTCTGCCCCACTGTGGGACCCTCCCAGAGGCCCAAATGATGAGTTTGAGATGCAGAAACAACACAATGCATGACAGAAGCCAGAAAAGCTGGAGGGAGGCCACATGGGGGGCTACTGCAAATGCTCCTTTTGTTTGAGCTATCAGGTGAGCATTGATTTGTTCATACCTCATTGATAGGGAGGTAGGCTGAACTCTTAGTCTCCAACCTGCCAAAAATCATGCTGTATCTGCGGGCAAATGCTGTGGTTGTTTAAGGAAATAGGGGAGGCACGATACCAAGGGAGCAAAACCTCACATTTGCCAACAGGGGAACGTTTACCTGGACTTCTGGGTCAAAAGAAAAGAGGTTTTGTCTTCCATCATTTCTGCTCAGTTTGTTCAGCTGATCTGTTTCTCTTCCATACTAGGACAAAGAAAAGCATTGATATTACTGCCTGGCCTCACATCCATTCAATGAAAGAATGGGAGAAAATAAAATAAATATTTTTCAGGTATCCTCTGTGGTGGTGCAAGGCTTCCCAGCTGCATCCACCAACACCACTCAGAGTAAGGCAATGCAGCTCTGCTAACTGAGAAAGTAGACAGAAGCAGGCAGCTGCACTCTGGATCATGCAGGAGATAGAAGTGGTGGAGAGAGCTAGAGATGGGGCTGAGAGAGCGATCCCTGCAAACACAATACCTTCATCAGCTCTGGATGCATGCTTCTCTCCAGGCTTTCCAGGATGTTTTCTGATTTTCCCTGCGTGCTTGATTCATCATCTGCAAGGACACGAAAAGCAGATGTTCAAAACAACTGCAGGAGCACCATTCTATTTTCCTCTGCCAGAAAGCATCCTGCAATATTTGCTTACAATAGCACAAAAATAGTTTATGGATAATTTATAGAGACTTTTCCACTTGGATGTAAGATTTTTCCATACGTTACTAATAGCAGAATGTACTATTAACAGCCTGCTAGATTTTTCCAAAGCAGAACTTCAGCCCAACTTTCCAGGGGTCTTGAAACGCTGCCATGGATTTCCCATCCAGAGGAAGGGTCATGTTTCTCTCCACTTTTATCCTTCAGAATATTGTCTGCATTACACTAAGCCATTTGGCATAGCATCCTTTGTCAGCCACAACACTTGCAATTAATCCAGAAAGAAAAATGGATGCTTCTGCAGGCACCCTGCTTGCTTCCTGCTAGAGAAGGTTGAAGGCTGATTTATGAACTGACCTTGTGCAGCTTCCACAGTATCTTTCTTCTCTTGCACCGAACTCTCACTATTGCTCTGAATGATCTTTCTCAGAGTCACCAGCCACTCTTCCATCTCCTGCTCTGTTTCAGCTGCAAGGTAGTGGCTGTACTTATCTATCGTCTTGAGTTCAAATGCATAGCGGCGCATCTTGGGACACTGAACAAAGAAGAAAGGGCAAGTTTTGTGTTACGCCTCCCTCAATAAATCAGCACAGCATTTTCTGCAAAGCTCCTCTCTGAAAAAGCGACCTGAACTGAAATGCTATGACAGGGAAGAAGAATCACCTCACCACACAAGGACCCTCCTCAGTACCTCTGCTGCAGTAATCAGTGAGGGCTGTACGGTTGCAATCATGTGCAATACAGCTCCACTGCTGCCAGTTACTCTGAGAGTGGAATTAAGCCAGAATGAACCACAGACATTGCACTGAGGAACAGCAGCAGGCTCCCTCTTATGTCATCAGACCTTTAATATTTACCCAGAGAAGCCAGGAGTTGGATTTGTCCAACACAATAAGTAATGTGGCACATTTAGAGGAATCTATCTTAGAGGAAAGCGGTTCAATATCATTTTCTGATCTCTGTCTTTAAACATCATTTCCCAATGAGAAACCCAGGCAAATCTGATGCAACTTGGGCAGTACATCCTGTACACCACCAAGACATCTTCACTTCTGCGTTAGCTGTGTTCAGAAAGATAGATGGAAACGGCTCTGACTCATCTGTGCTGAAGCAAACAGCCAAAGTAATTCAAGCTGCCGTGTGCCGGCTCTGCCACACTTGGTGCTTGGAGCTTCAGCTCTGACAGGAACAGCAGAAGGCACAGCAGTGATGCACTGCTACACTTGGCTCTCAACCCAAGCTGAAGCCCAATAAAAATACCTTCTTCTATAACCTTACAGGCACTTTAGGAGTGGTACACCTGTAGGGCTGCACATTTGGGTTAGTTGGTAAGCCCTTTCTTTCACCTCTCAGTGTCACAGAGTGAACATTTCCATCTCTGAGCTTGCAAAGCATCAGCCCAAGTACAGGCACACCTACCTGGACCACATCATTACAAGCATCCAGGAAAATACAGCCTTTGGATTCTTTTGAAATTTTCTCATCTTTGTAGGAATTTAGAATGTAGGAGCCATCCGTGAGTTGTGACAGGTAAAAATATCTCCTCTTGAATACCTGCAAAAGTATAACATCTCACTCGTGGAAGTACTCACTCTGCTGGATATCCCAAGCAACAGTCTCAGTTTCTGCCCTCCTGCTATTGAGAAAATATTGTTAACAAGAAGCACTGATGACCCTTGAGTGTTGTAGATGCACCCCTCTGAGAATGACTTGGTTTTGTAATGAGAGACTTTGTCATCTGCTTTAATTTTAATGTCTTTGTTGTTATTATGAGTTTGTCCATCCAAAGCAAAGCCCCAGGGCTTCTAGCTCATCTCTCAGCTGGCTTAAGCCTCAGTTTGTGCACATGGCAAATCTAGATCAGTGCAGCACATTCATCCTGCCCTCCAGCACGTATTTCTAGAGTTTTTTTTAATAAAGACCTCAGAATTACAAAGTAAGCCTCCAGAAGACTTCAGAATAGACACGTGGAAATTCCTAGCCCTCAAATGCAAGCCAAAGAATACTGCAATCCATGCAAGTGCTCGTGGTTTCATTTACTGTGGTTTTGTGTGGCCATTTTTTTCTAACACGTCTGTTTTCATGAACTGGCTTTGGCTTAGTGTGTTCAGTTCCCACCTCAAATGCAGTAAGTTTGAGAGAGATACCTGCATGTTTGAGTTATGGTTATGAAGACTGAATTAATTCATTAGCCAGCACACTCTCCAGCTTTCTCTCAGAACACCTTCCTTCACACTTGTCAGCCCATAGGCATTGGACTATAATTCAGGAGAGCATTCTGGCAGCAGTTAAGACAGCACCATATGCTGGCAGGTGTGTGAGGCACGGGGTGCATCTCACAGTGGCTGGATATCACTCTTAGCAGAACCACGAAGCACCCCAGGGTGAAGCAGCATTGCAAAGCTCTAAGTGTTCCCACTGTTCTGAATACATGGAATAGCTACAAAAGAAACATTTGTCACCCCAGATGGGAGACTACCAGTAATTCTGTGCCTCCATCACTGCTGACACAATCACATGTTCAATAAAACCACTTGCTCGCTTGCACAGAACTGTGCCCAACCCCACTCAATGATATCCTCTGGCATCATTTAGATAAGTAGCTTGCTGCAGGAACTGTAATTACCAACAAAGCAAGGAACCTCATTGCAGCCATCCCTCAGCTGCACAGCTGAGGATAAATACACAGTATTCTCTCTGTGCTGTAAGAAGGCAGCTGCATGGTGGAACATAGGGCAGGCTTCTTGCCATGGCAAAAACCTGTAGTGGAACTATTAAAAATTTCCACTGCAAAACCTAAGCAATGTCAGGCCAGATTGTGTGCAAGGGAAAACAAGAGACAAGGCAGCTGTTGCTTCGAGGTCAGTAATGCTCTGTCTCCTCAGTGACATCATCCCTGCTTTTAGAGCAAAGGCTTGTCATTTCAATTTAAAGCTGCTCTCTGTACATATTTCCCACCAGTAAGGAAACTATCAATTTAGAGAGTCTTCTTTGCAGGGCAGCTATTTGTTATTTAAATTGCCTTCCTCTTCCTAGCCTCTGCTGCTCATTTTGAAAACAATCTTGGTTTACTTGAGAACACTTTGCCTTCTTGCTCAGATTGCCTGTTGTGATTAGAAGTGCACTGGGCTTAAATTCTGGGAAGGGAAGAACCAAAAGCTGTTTCCAGACTGCATTTTCCAACCCATCTTGGGATGCCCTGTAAGAGAGGTGGATGCACCCAAACCTGAAAGCATCCCTGCACTCCCACTGCCTTTAGAGATAGGATCTGAACAGAGGTTGTGTCTTGTTCACAATTAACCTAACACAGGATAAGGCTCACCCTCATAGTAACAGTGATTGTGCTGTTGACATTTGCTTTGTGCAACCAGCCTTGCTTTATCACACCGCCCTTCTGGGAGCACAGAGATGAGGAATCCTGAAAGAGAGCAAAAGATCAGAAAAAGAGCAGGTCAGCTTAACTGCCTCCCATGTAAAATCCCCCTGGGACACAAGGGTATGTCTGCACTGGAAAGCAATACTGTTAACCACAGCAGGATAGTTAACCCCATAGTGTAGAATGCACACTTAACATGTAAAGCGTTATCCCAAGAAAATTCAGAGTCATCTCTTTCCAAAGGAACAAGCTGGTTTGGGTCACCTTTCAAAGGAAAAAATACATCTATGCTGACAGAGCTGCACAGGGGTTTTGCAATGGGGAAATGCATGTTGGCTCTTAGGCAGTATTTCAAAAAGCTGGGGAAGTAGGACATTTTCTAGATGGTCTCTTAGGACAGTTGCAAAATGCAGCACTTCGGATTCACTTCATCATTTCTTTTTTGCATAAATGAACTTACCATTTTAAATTGAGGCAACAGAACATCAAACCCAAATAGCTGAAATGTGACTGACTTGTTTCACGCTTATCAAACCGGAAGGTTTCAAGTGACCCAGCTGCACTGTTCTTGGCACATTGGCTGGGATTTCTACCTTTGGTCCTGCCTTGTGCTCCCAGAAAGGGAGAGCAGCCCTCCACCCATACCTGGCAATGACCTCCACTAGGGACAGAAGAAAACTTGCCCTGTCCCTTCCAATGACTCAGCAGCAGAGGTGAACCTGGACTATTTGCCCATGAGCTATCAAGGCACTGCTTTTTATCATCTCCTGCATCCAAAACAGCAGCTTTTCAACTCTTTTCTTGCCAGACTTCCAATTCAAAAAAGTTTCTAATGCTTTATTTCCCTGGGTAAAACAACCCACAGTTTCTCCTTCAAAAAGTTTCAACTTTTTTTCATCCAGAGAATCAAGAGAATTCTTTCACATGAATTTCCATTGCATATCCTCATGTAAATGTTCTGTCAGGAAACTATAACAGAAGCCTTTAGATACGGCCAAGCCAAAAGACATAAATGCCAAAATATCTGCCAAGGTACTTAGAATACTCTTCCATTACCAACAATGGTAACTGCATTTGTTTGTGTATTTGGGACACTGATCAGAAGAAAGCAAGCCCTCCACCACGTTTGGATAGCATATCCTTGTCTCTTTACTTGTTCAGAGGCATGCTGATAAGATACCACTCAGCTCTGTCTCCAGCCTAAAGCAAATACTATTAAGGAGGTAACGGAGCAAGTGAACAACATACTACCAACACAGCCAAAAAATCAAAGCTAGATTTGACAATACATTTCCTTCTAGGAAAAAGCTATCTCAGTCCAGACAAGAACTGTGCTGGGACATACAAAACAATTACTAAAAGCATGCTGAAGTAACTCTTCAGAACTACAGCACTGCAAGAAAGAAACTTCCCTGTTCCTGTCTGCTCCTCAGCAGCATCTCAGTGCCATGCAGATTTTAACAGCTGGACTAAACTCCTTACACTGTAATCCAAGAATTCTTAATGCCAAGTGTGTGAATTAAACTTCCCATAGGAAAGCACTACCCTCCTTCTGCAGAAAATGTGATATACACAGTAAGTAAGAACTGCAGATTATGAGGCAGAGCACAAACCTTTTGAAGAAGAGGACCCTGATGTAGTTGTATCTATGTGCACCATGTGGCTGGAAACCAAACTGCTTTAAATTACGGCCATGAAGAATTTTACTTAGTTTGTCAGTTGGCTTCTTTTTTTTTTTCTTTCTCTCTTTCATTGCTGCACTGAATCAAGTAGAAAAGCCATGAAAAACTGGATGGCTCATCTTCCATCTAATTTAGGAGACTCTTGGCTCCGGCAGATTATCTTGTCCCATGTTCAATTAGATCAATGTCTCAGTTCTGGCCCCATGTCTGTAGTATGAAGCACCTCACCAGAAAACCACTGCTGGGAAGTGAATTCTGACTTTGCCTGGTGAAATCAACCTTTTAACAGATCTTAGAGTGGAATATGTAAAACATTTTCTCCTTACCTCATCTTTTTCAAAGTCTTCATCGATTTCAAACACGTGGCTTGGAATCTTGTCTGGCCTGAAGGATTTGCTGAAATCACAACACATTTGAATTGTTAATGACTGGGGAACACAGATCCTCTACAGCTTTGCCATGCCAGTTACACTAGCAAGTTCTGCAGAAGATGCTAGGAGACTTCCACCCCTTAGAGCTAGGGAGAGCCAACTTCTGAGCACACCTTGTGGGAGCCAAGTGCAGAGACCACTCAACTACCTTTCTGTTTTATCTGTTTGTCTCTGCAGAGCTTTTGCTGACTTGCATTTACGCAGCACAGGGATGCAGGAGGCCCATCTGCCTTCCATCTCACTGAAAGAGAAGCCAGATCAGGCAGCAAGATTATCCGCAAATTTTAATATGATTTGATCAGTGCTGTTGCTCCATTGCTGCCTCACTTCTCTGCAGGCTCTTCAGAACAGACCTACTTTGACTGTTTCTCCTAAGCCTGATCAAACCATGGCCCTGTGAACACACATTAGTATTCCAAGGGAGTGTGACACTTACCATGGCAACATCCGAAAGTCTCCTGAGTATTCTTCATATTTGTAGTTCACCACGTGCCAGTCAGAGCTGTAGGTTTTAATGCACTGGAAGGAAAACAGTAGAGCTCTTTGAGATTTACAGCAAGCAGAACAAAACCATGCACAAGTCCAAAAGTTTACAGGCTGCTGGGTGAGGTAAGCAGGGTTGCTTCACTTATTTTGTGCTGCCACACAGAACTTCATAGGAAACTTCTCAGTATGGAGACAAAAATCACACAGCATCTGGCTAGACACAGCTACTGATTTTGAATCTACAGAGCTCCAAGACTTTAAAAAACGAGCAGTGATCTGGGAGGGGATTGCTTCCCAAGAAAGATTTCCTGCCCTCAGAACTGCAGTGCCTCTCATTCAATGCTGACCATCACTTGGCATTTATTTCCACTGCCCTTGGAGGGGAATGGTCCTAGAGAGCAGCATTTTGCAGAACAAACCTGCAGCACTCAGGATGCAGGGAGGGAAGCTGTGCAGCCCAGCCCTGCTGCTCATCTGCACCTTGCAGCTCAAGCCACACACATTGCCTGAGTACAAAACCTGATGGGAAGGAGCAAAGCACAAGATGCACAGGTGGGAACTAGCTAGTGCAAACACCCTGCCAGCAAGCAGCTCTTCCTATGCAGGAAAAGACAATCTGCAACTTGCAGACAGCAGCTACAGGAGAACATCTTGCCTAAGGTGCTGTGGGCAGGAACTGCGTGGACTTTTGCCCCTACCTCTTTGACAAAGAGGCTCTGAGCTTTCTTGAGAGCATCTTCTGGCACTGTAGACTGGACAGTTCTTCTCTGCCGACTGATGACTGAGAGCTGCAGGGAAAAGGGAAAAATGGTTTCATTGCAAACTGGGTCTCCACGGTTTGAAGCTTGTTTTGAGTAAACGCAGTGGGCCCAAATCACCGGGGGGTCTTTTCACTTTTATGTGTCAGTAACACAGCCAAAATCAACATGTGGCCAAGAGTGGAAATTTTCCAAGGTAAGCAGGAGATGAATGAGTCTCAAAGAGAAAAAACAGCCAGCATGAACTCACAGACACATCTTCAATCGGAAATATCAGCAGGTCCCGGAGGGGATCGCTGTAGATCTGAACTTTGCGTTGGAGGATCACGTTCTCATAGTCCAAGGGTTCAACCACTTTGGTTTTTTCCTGCAGGAAAAATAGAAGACAGTAACAATTACATACATATATATAAAATAACCAATAACTAACGTCTTGTACATAATTTAGTCAGATGTCTTCAAACCACGTTACCAGTGGATTGCCCATTAACAATTGGGTGCATGCACGATGCAAGGAAGCACTGGCATGCATGCTTTGCAGTGATGAAAACAAAGGGTTAAATTATTCAGGCTTGGTTATAATCTACAGGAAGAAAGCAAGTACTGCACTGCTCTTGCCCAGGCATAGTCTCTAATTTCTTAATGGAGGAAGAAATCCTCTTCCACAGGCTGCAAGCTCCAGCTCCCTCCAGTATGAGCAGAGCTCAGCAGCAACACAGGCTCCTGCACCAGCATGAAGCTGGTTTCACTAAATGAGCTGATGAGAGCCTTTAGAAAGGTGCTGCTGGCAGGATGGGAACAAGCTGCCTGCAATTCCAGCACAGGGATCCTCTCTGTGGAAGGAAGATCCCTCTGGAAATGCAGGAAAGCCCTCTGCATAAGCCACACCTATGGCTGGAAAACTCTAGAGCTTGGCTTTGCTCTTATTTACATTTCTGGGCAGCAAGAGGAACTTCTCCAAAATCCCTGGAGTCATCATTAAAAACTATCAGGAGAATGCCAGCACGTTTTCTCTTGTATTACTTCTGTTCATGCTACAAGTCCAGAAAACAGAGCTTAAAAAAAACCTACAGAGGCAACTTCCAAAGCAGGAAAACATCATCTCAGCTTTCCAACCCTAGACATCAGCATTTGTAAGTACAAATCAGGCACTGCAGTTGAGAAGGTTACTCTGTACACTGAAAGCAAACACATGACATGCACATGAATAGTTACAATAAAAGAGGAAGGAATTTCCAATTTTATCTCTGAATTCCAGCTAAAAGTCTGCTCGTGCCTGGCTATGCTACAGATGGTTCTAACGTGATGCCAGGCTGGCAGGTACCCAAGGGAGAGCATGCCCTTGCAGGTGGGGCTGTCCACTCTTAGAAATGGAATGTCAGAATCTCCTTAATCATCACCAAACTTAACTGAATATTTTCCCTTGGATGAATTGTTCTTGGCTGTTCCTCCATTCCAGGCGCATACCTGGCAAGCCTGTGATATGTGCAATGAAATACAAGATGAAATATTTTCCCCAAAACACTTCAGAAATGCAAGGAGGGTACCTCTCAGACTGCATTTCTCAGGACTGCATCCCAGCAGCAGGATGAGATGCTGAGGCAGGTCAGCATGGAGCCTGTGTGCAATCTAACCTGTATTACCAACATGAGTGATGTCTCAGGGGCAGCTGCTTTGCCCTGCTTCTGTCTGTCCGCAGAGAATGTCTTACTTTTGTCTGGGGAAAGTACACCTCCTGCCCCAGGCATTCTCGCATTCAAAATGCCTATTTTCCATGCTTGCAGGAATCCAGCAAGGATTTGCTCAGTTGAAACGTTTCCCTCTTAATCGCGCTTTGGAAAACTTTGCCTCACTCCTAATGCAGTCCTAAAAGAAAATTCCAGAGCTTATTGAGCAGCACTGGAGCATAACAGGGAGCAGCCCGGTGGGTCACAGCTGGGGAAGGGCAGCGTGGCCCCAGAAGAGAGCCCACACTGTGGTATGAGAGCTGCCAGCCCCAACACTGCTTCTGCTCCAGGATCTGAGTTGCACAGGGATCTCATGTAAAAGAAAAGGACTACCAGAAAAAACAGGAGTCCCTAAAACCCAGCAGGAAGATGGAGAGAAGGGATCCAGTTTTTCCTTGGTTAGCCTCACACTCCTTAAATGCTTAATTGAATTTGGTTAATCATCCGGAGCACCAGTGTGATTTCATTACAGTGCTACACACTGCTGCGGATTTGCCAAGCCTGGCACGTTAATGTGAATTAACACATCGGGATGCTCACAGACTGTTCTCCCATTTGTGGGCATAAGGTCTGGTGTCCCTAAATCTCAACAGCTCTGGTGCCATCCCTGCAGCAATCCCACCAGCACCCCCAGCATGAGCTGCTTAAACTCACACCAGCTCACCCTGCCCTAGAGTAAGGCTAAATTAGATTCCTAAGAGCCCTGTGCGTTGCTGTGGTGTTAAGTAGTGGCTTTGGGTACTCCAAATTCAGCTGTGTGATGGCTCTTTGCAGCATGACTGCAAGACAACGCTGCATGCAGTGCACCCTGCGTGACATAACTGATTTAGTTGTCACAAGCCATGAGGGGAACCACAGCAACGTCTCAAAGGATGTAGGTCAAGCCATATGCAAGCAGAGCAACTGCTGAGAAAAGGATGTGGTGTGGCCTCTGCCTGCTGCCACGGAAACACGGACACCTCTGTCAGTCTGTCGGAGCCCTGCAAACAGAGCAGCAGAGCAGGAGGGAGCCCCCGCTCCCCCTCTGGTCCCAGCAGGGCAGGAGATAAAACGCTAAGCCCTGAAAAGCAGATTTTGAAGTCTTAGTTCTTCTAATGAGCAGTGTTCAAGCACACCTCCCAAACCAGACCCAGCCCTGCTGCCCAGCGCTGTCACAACAGCAGATGGCACCCACCAAAGCCATTATGAAAGCGGAGGAAGAACTATTACGCTAAAGCAATTAGAGTCTTAAAACCACAAATTCCTCCACAGGGAAAGCCAATTTTAAGTGCAAAGAAATGCTGCCAGTCTAGCAACAAACCCAACGCGTTTCTGCAGGAAAAAAAATGCACAGTGCTGCATGGGCCTGCATGAGGCCAGGTCACAAGCTGCTCTTGGACAATGGCACGAGCAAAACAACAGCCCGTCTATTGCACTATTGACTCTCCACCAAGAAGCAAGCTGGCTGGCATTTTAACAGGAAATTCAATTGAATTGCTTCAACAGAAACATGCCCACGAACGCCAGCGCAAGGCAGCACAGAGAGCCGGGCCCCAGGAAAACCCCATGGAAATGTCTCCAGCCTCGCTGCCCTGAGCCATCTCCTGACCGTAGCCATTTGCAAAGCACATGAAAATCCTTACGTTTGCTTTATGAACAAGGGTTCCCACATTCAACTGGAAAGGGCATTTCTATTTTCTACTTCTACAGCTCTGAACACAGTGGCCACCTGTCTTCTACTGTCCTGCATTTAAACAGTACAAATGTGGTATTTTTTTTTATTATGTGAATAATGCTTTTCTGAGCTCTCGTTCTCTCAGAATTACTATGGGTATAACAGCAGTGACACTACTGTACAGAAAGTGAAGGAAAAATGTTTAATTTGAGGTTATTTTAAAACAGCAGCCTAGGGAAAATGATCAGAAACGTATGTATTCTCAGTGATTTCAGGCTGGCCGTCATTTAAAACAAACAATATCCAGAGAAGAAAGCAAACTTATGGCAAACCCAGCTGGTTTGGCTCTGCGTTACCCAGTTTTCTCATTGCCTTGACACCCGCCCCATGTGGGCTGACAGCTCACTTTTCCCCCTGCTCAGCAGAAGGCAGCTCCTCACAGCCCCAGAAGAATCCACAGCCCCAGCATAACGAACACACCATGCTCAGCTTTCACTTCTTCCCTACGGTCCCCAGTGGGTATGATGCATGGCCATCCCTGCCTCCACCAAAACACTCCACGGCTCAGCAGCACTTGGCACACAGTGATTTTGCAATCCTCAGAAGTGAAGTTTGACCCAGCGCCACAAACCCACCCTCACAAAGCAGCTAGAGACATAAGTGATCCGTGTATTGAAAGTGATGCTTCTCTGAAGTGTCTGAAAGAACAGGAAACAGCATGGACCATATGTACATATCAGTGTATTGTCTTAGACTGCACCCAAAATCTAGCAAGCATTTTACTGCCCATTTACTACTTCACCTGCAACCTCGTAACATACTTAGGTCCTTACACTTGCAACACCTAGCAAAGCATAGATATTAAAACAAATCCCATAGGACCAAGTGGGTGAAATACACAGAAAATAGGAGACAAATTCAAAATGGGGAATTGATTCAAAGCTCAAGAGGCAAAAAAGAGGAAGCACACACCCCTTGGCCGTACCAACCACAGACACAGCGCTTCCGAGAGCAACATCAGCCCAGGGAGGGACCCTGTCCTACCATAATACATAACCTGCACATGCAGAGAGATCACTCAGAGAAGAAAACTCCCCAGTTATGGCATTGCTCATGAAACCTGAAGGTCATGGGAAAGTTTATATGAAATCTGGGAACCAAGAAACACACTTGGCAACTTGCATGGGCAAATGGAAGTGAGGGATTTCACTCCATAGAAAAGCTTTTCCAAAGGCAGGGGTTCAGAGACCACCAGTCGTGTCACTCTCAGACCATGTAGTCCTAAAGAGGTTTTTTTTATTTAAGTAGCACATCTGTGGCTCTTCACTTTCTCAGCCCCCAGCTCCAGCACTGCCATCTGATCGCATTTGCAGGCTCTAGCTCCAGCTTGCAGGAAGGCTGGAGTGCTTCATTTAAAAAACCTTAGATTCACACATAATTCATCATCCCAGGAGCCTGGGCAGAAGGAAGAACAGCAAAAAGTGAGAAATGCTTTGCTTGCCTATCCAACATCTGGAACCATCGTAACCCAGTACAAAGCCAAACAGTGTCTTTGGCACAATGCCTTCAGAAGGAGAGGAGAAAGGAAAGAGGTCAGAACAGAGCAACAGGGGAGGAAGGGCAAACAGAGCAGCAGCGTTAGTCAGCACAGATGGCAGCAGGCACAACACAACGCAGCCTTGCTGCTGCCAAGTAGTTTGCAGGCTTCTCAGCACAGCCACGTTCAGGGAGAAGCCAGGAGGGAGGCAAAGATGCAGCTCCCATGGGACAGTGCTGCAAACACGGCTGTCAGCTGGATGGAAGTGCGGGGCCCAGGGTGAGCTGTGCAGACATGGGCTATGGTAAAACCACAGGGAGGAAAAACAGTCAATACGGCTGGGTATGAGGAGGCCAAGACTATTTTTAAGCTGTCTAGAGAGAAGGAGGTTTAAAAACACAAGGCAAATGCCCAGGCAGGAATCCTAGCTGTGTTGGAGGCACAAAACC